TTGTATAAGCTTATGCTCACATTTTTTTTGACGTAGCAGACTATAAAAATGTACTACAATAATATTTTATAATCTATGGTTTTTACATCGAGGCGTGAATTTAAATATACAGAATTGAATTATATCTCAAAATCCATCCATATCGGCAGTCAGGTAACCTTAAATTATAAACATATTCATGCATGGCGCGACCATGAGACATTCGCGACTCAACCTAAATCCGTCCAATAAGGGTCGTTTCTAATGGACAGATAACATACAAAACGCTCATTAAAATTAAATGTCAAAATGGTATAAGCATTAAAAACTTTTTAGTGAGTATCAACGTGTATGTCGTAAGGTACACAAAATGTCACGTCATGTCATCCTTATCAAAAGTTAAAAAATTGTTTTGGATCTTCCCGTCACAAGTTTATCCCATTTATCTTTGAACAATGTAAATAAAATCATTGAATGTAGGACAATAGATTCTAGCGAGATTTTGTATTTGATATAACTTGTTGCCTTTATACAAGTGACTGTCGATTTAAAACTCGTATAATTTAGGGATTGAAATGTACAAAATAATGTAATCGCACATATAAACGCCGCTTTACCTTTAAGCGGCGTTTTAACTGAATAAGAAATTATGGAAGTATTTTCTCCGTCTGTAAATATAACTGAGGTCAACCGTCAGACATACTAATAAAGGGTATTGACAATTTTAAAATCGATTCGTATTCATTAAATACGCCGTTTTTTATTAATTTCAAAATCAGCAACAAAAAAGTTGCGGTCTATACAAAAAATATATTTTTAATTTTAGTATAGAGCAACCCAGTTTCTTTAGAAGCACTTAAATTTGTCACCAAAATTTGATACACACGAAAGCAATTGTGAAAATACGATAGTAAAATGTCACACATGTTGAACATCCAGTCACTGGGTCGGCTGCTCTCAATGACACGCTTACCAAAACAAAGACGACAAAAACTAAATTAACTAAACACTTCTTTGAAGGATGTTATATTCAAAACTAAGAATAAAAAATAAATAGTCTATCTCATTGTCTATCAAAGAACCGTTTGTTTTAATTGAGATTTTAATCAACAATATGGAGGCTTTTCAATATGCGATCCTGTAATCTGTTACTTTCTTTATAACTACTTAATATTTATTACTATTATGACAGTTTGTTTGTTCTCGAATTGATTTCATATATACATTTTGACCAAGTCTCGTAAATAAGTCATAAGGATCCACAATAATTCATAAACTACTCTAACCAATAAATTATACAAAGTAACTTTATATCTGTCTCCTAACTTTCAAATATTTTTTATTTAGTATTCAATACCGTTGGGTTTCTCGTGAACTGATAATATATTTTTATATTATATACTCGTATTTCATATAACTTCTAGTTTAATAACAATCTAAATCACATAAATAAAATATGTATAATTTTTTTATTTATTATATCCCATAACTCAAATGATTCTCATTCATTTTGCAAAACTCGATGTTAAGTTACAATAATGATTCATACCTCTTAATCATCACAATTAAATCGTGGTGGACTAAAGTTTAAAAATTAAGGGCCAGCCTCTCATGAATGAGAGTGTGGATTCGAAACCTAGCAAGTACCAATATGATTTTTTACGAGTTACATGTACTTTCTAAGAGTATTTAGACACTACTGACAGGGGTTGAAAGAAAAAATTGTAAGGAAACCTGGAGTCATAATTTCAATTTAAAAGTTTGATTTCGCCAATCCGCCTTGAGCTGGCATGGTGATTAATGCTCTTACCTTCTCCATGTGAGAAGAGGCTTTTTCTCAGCAGTGTTCACCAATAGGCTGATAATAATGATGAATCATCACACTGCATTACTGCTGATGATCTAAATTGTATTCCGTAAAACAAAAAAGTATTTTTGAATTAAATAAAATCATGGCAACAATAAGTAAAATTATAAATTAGAATGATTTGGAAATAGAGCGTATATTCGAAATGCTATCATTATATACCTAATATAACATAGTAAGAGAACAAGTTGATGAATATGCAAATTTGTCAATTCTTACCTACTTGTCCGGTTCGCGACTGGACACTTTCTCGTCCGATAGTCGACACCGCCTTTCGATTATAATCCATTATCATACAATAACCATCAATAACAGTTTTTTTATATAATTCGGTCACAAACTAGTTTAGAATAATATATTTAGTTTAGTACGGAAAGAAATATATAAATTAATATATATATTTTAAGAATAAGATACTTATATGTATTATAATTTTTTTTAATAACAATAGCGAAGTACTCAAATCGTCAGATGATAGAAATTTGAAGCTACAAGCATAAGCTCATTGACTTAAATTAATACAATGCTTTTGTAATATAATTTACTTACAATTTTTAATGTTCATACGCTGCTTTTGCCTTACTTTTATTAACGTTTAATTATCTATGATTTCAATAAATGATTTTCTAACCAAAGGATATTACTACCTGACATCTGGTTATCCTTACGAAATCTTCAACTCACTCTAAATATACCACATCTATTAAAAACAGCCACCCGCCTTTTTGTGACCGTTTTGGTGTAACACCTGTCTGTGGCAGGGTGTATAGTATACACGCCAAGCGTGACTGTAGAAAGTTGGGAACACGTTCATGTTCAATGTTGTTGATTCACGCACTCGTATTAATTAAAGGAAGTAGACACATATCTAAATGGGTAGGAGCGTTAGAGCACATTGAGAATAACATGACGCCTTTATGGCCAGTTAGTATGTAGCAGTCAACGAAACAGAACACGGCAGTGTAATTAACGGAACGCTTATCTTTGTAGCTTAGTGCAGTTTATTATGTATGGTCACATTTAGGCAACGAATGTTCTCAGAATCGATCGTCTGGTACTCTCACTGGAAAGCTATTTATGTGCAACCCTGCGCTCGCACATCTCTGTTCCGAGTGTCGTCTCGCTCACGCATACATGTCAAGGTAGGGTTCAACAATCGAGGATTTGGTACGCGTCGATAATAATACATCCAAACGGAATACCCATCGTGTGTCTGCTTTATGTAAACAGAACGCCTTCATTAGGTCACTCACGATGCATTTTTATTAACCAAAAGAGCGAAGCAGCGTTTTTATTAATCATGAACATATATAGAGTTTTAGTTCCATATACGTATCTAATATCGATTCACTAGAATGAAGATTTTAATCCACATAAGCTGATATATCAAACGCCAAGAGTTAATCTAGCTAATTACTGATCAAGCACCCATTTAAATACGGTCAAATCCCGCGAAGAACTTCCGCGTTAGCAGTCGGCGCCTGGAGATCATTGCCAGATGTGAGATGCTGTAGATAGATCGTACTAGTATACTTCAACAGTCACTGCCCTTATAAACAAAAAATTAAAATGCCAAGCAATCTATCCAAATACCTCAACCAATCTTAAGGTCAAGGGAAATTAAGATTATTTACAAGTTTGATATGGCGAATATTACGCAAATACTGAACTAGCCATGTTTATATTTTATGTCAAAGATATTAAATTTTATACGAGTATTTATTGTTAAACTTTAACTATGAAAGGCCCAATATAAGATGGGCGAAATATAAGTATTTACACCTACATATTGTAATAAAAATATAAAGTAATCGTAGCTACAGTATCTGGCTTCATTGGACTTTCTTTGATCGGACATGCTATTTGCCTATTACGATGTTTATACATACTCTTTGATGTTCAAAACATGCAACGGCACAATAACATCCGACAGATTTTTTTGTTATTATACAATGCAATGTTAATAATAACATCAACATCACAAACAAAGATTAAATGTAACTCCTGATTAATTTACTTTTAAACATACAGCAACCAGTCTTATAGAAAAACAAAGTTATATAGCATACTTAAATCAAGATTACTGCTTCATTTTAAAATATTAATTATTTTTCTTAACATATTTATTCGTAATTAACCAAATAACATTGACATTAAAAACGAAATTGTAAATATATTTTTACTTTAAAAATATTTTGTTGTGACAACGAGAGACTAATAAACAAATAGGTATATACTTTGAAATGTATAAAACAAAATAAAAGTTTAAAGTAGGCCCTCAAAAGCCTTAAAGTATTCAATTAGTTGTTGTTGTAATCGAAAACTTTTTTGCACTATTTACATATTTATAAATCAAACTAATTCAATAAATTAAATACATTAAAATTTTGAAACTTTCACTTTTCCGACTGACAAATGGCAGCAAGATCATTCATCAATATTAACATTTAATTAGAACTAAATACATGTGCTCCATAAAATGGTCAGAAATATAGTAAATTTAGTTACGAGGTAAAATCATTATAAAATTTCCCTTCACAATAAGTACCTACTAATATTCGCATTTTGTTCGTCATCGAGCTATTGAGTTAAATGGATAAGGTCAAACCTTGATCCAGTTCGCAAGATAATAAACTCTGGATATTGTTCTAACTCCTTGCATGTAAATAACATGCACTCTTTGATTCATATGCAACGATTTTATTTACATCTACTTATAGATACGATTTAACAAAATGACACATGTTCAGAACTGATTAATAAAATTCCATACTAACATAAAATTTAAGAAAATGTTGCCACCATTCCTATTGTAACTGTTCACTACAATTGTAACAAAATATTTTGTTTGTATTGTATTAACAATATAATGTGAATGAACTCTACCGAGTTAATTACTATCTATATTAACTAGAGCAAGCCCAGCTTTTGAGTCTACAATACACCAGTAGCAACATTGCACAATTCGAAACTTATATAGAACTATGTTCATTAAGCTGTATATGCAATTTTAATTCTGATTGTGAACAACCACACGTAAAATTTCTTACTTAAAAACCGTATTGATTTTACCCAGAGTATTTATAGAACTTGATCGTCAGGACAGATTAAAATTTAAACGTAAACTGTATATATTATTCTTCAGGTTTTTGCGATGTGGTATCCGTGGATCGCGTTGCTGGTGTCGAGTGCACTGGTGGGGGCGGAAACGACTGAGGGGCCAACCCCGGCAACCACCCGTTCCCCACCACGCACCCTGGACCGGCCGCTTGGAGAGCTCGCTTGGCCCACCTGGTTACAGAACCCTGATGAAGGCAACCAGAACGCTCCTCCCAGACGAATAACCACCAAGTCTCTGTTCATAACCCCCTTGGTATGTCCTAAAGGACATCGCTTGGATGGAGCTGCTTGTGTTCAAGTAAGTTTCGCTATAGAAGAAAACAATTTCATTATATTTCTATTAGTATATAAATAAATGTAATATTATTTTCATAATTTTAGGTGGTGACCGTTAATAAAGATGAACATGAACGCATTTTATTGGAGCAATTGAACGCTCTGCATATATTCACTGCAGCTCCAAACAACAGTGACGTTTTTTACGATTACGGTGACGAAGAACCAGGCCCGCTGCAATTATCTATACCTATTGGACTCGACCCTCAGGGTTCGCCACAAGATCCATCTGCTCAGGTAATGTCGGAAGAATGTTCTTAAAATTTACAGATATATTAGTTCCTTGAAAAAATAACTAATATCTTTGTAAAACTTTTTCTCTCCTTCTAACAAGAAAGTAAAAATATGTTACAGCTAAAATAAAATTGAATATATATAAAATATTATGTAATAAATAAAAACAATAACTAAGTATTATAACAACTTTCCTTATTAATAATAATCGCCAGGAAGTGAACATGCCTTATTTCTTGATGGAATTTATATAATAGGCATATACCTACTTAGCGAATAAAATATTTTATGACACATAAACAATATGCATTGTACATGACAAAGAAACTATTCAATATCTCCGTGTCGTATTAATAAGCAATATTTTAATTTTTTTACAGAATCAGGATCTGACACCAAATTTCGGAAATAACAACAAAAATGGCGATAACACTGATATAGAAGCGGAGCTAGAACTTTTAAAGCTACAGCAAGCGCATAATAAACTTAACCAGACAGCGGGTAACAATATTTTATCTCATAATGCACTCCACAACTTGTTGACTTACTCCGACAAACCCAAAAGAGACAGCCCCATGATCAACTCAAGTGAGGTTGATTCATTAAATAGTACGGATGAAGGACAAAAGGAAGTAGTTTATGGACACGTGAACGTTGACCCAGTACTCTATGACACAATAAATGAAAATAACGAAGATAAAGCGACCGATTCGGAAATCAAAAACGACGAAACATCTTTAGCTGATAAAGACAATTCGTCAAATAAAACGGAAAACGATACAACGCTAGCCAATTTAAACGATAATTCCAATAATTCCACCAATGCAACAAAACCTGTCCTTGAAAATACCGAAGAAACCAAACTCAACCCAGAAAATGATTACTCTGATATTGGAGAGGCTATTAAGCTAATAAGCAGATACGCTGAAGTATCTACTGATGATAATTTTACCAAAGACGATAAAAAGGACCCATCAACAGATGACAGTATATTAGGAACACGTACCAAACTACAATACCGCCGCAAGAAACCGATTAAATTAAATGAACACGAAAATCCAACACCCGACGTAATAAGCACTGATGTAATGAATGACAGATTAAATCCAAAAAATGTTGTACTCTATAGATACCCATGGCCAAGCGAAAGTGCTGGTGTGATCCCACCTAACTATCCTTTCCGACGTCTCCAAGATTACTGGCCAGGTCGTAGTCAAATTGGTGGTTTATACAGAAGTGAAAATCCACGGCGTCATCATCATTCATATCCACACTACTTCAGACCACGAGGCTATAACTACGCCGGCTATCAAGGCTCGCGTTCAGGTCTGCAGGAGGCTTACTCTAGACTTCGACGTTATCCACACAAACTAGAAGCACGTAACGCTAGTCCCGTGAGATCTCACGCAAACAACCAAGATTTATACAGCCTACTTGGTTTAAGACACTGGTTCAGCGGTGAAGGAACTTCGAAGAGATAGTTTGCTTCATCATGATTAGAAAATTCGATGTTACCCGACGACGTATAATGGAAGCTATGGACGCTGCGCGCACATTTTGATCTAACTTAATATAAAATTTAATATTTTCAATGTTATCTGTCTTTTAGCGCTATAAACGAGTCTATAGTCATTTCTACCATAGCTTTCACTATATTTAGCCTATTTATTTTCAAGCCAAATATTACAGTCATAGTTATGTAAAATTATTTGATAGCTGTTTTAAGTTTTGTAAATATTTCCGCTCTCAATGCCTAAGCTAATTTTTAATGCTGCAAGTTTAATGTTTATCCATTAGTATTATCGTTGTTTTGTATTATGTAAATTGTTGTATTACTAATTTATGTTTATTTGATGTATATTTTTGTTGTTGTGACTTGTGAGTTAATCGTATGTAAGGCAAAATGGTTAGAATACCGTACAAGCGCTATCGGCACTGGCTTGCCTTTTAATGCTATGGTAATCTTTATTTTAGTACTTATGTAGATAGATGTGCAGACAGAGAAACATATTTTTAAATGTAGATACCATGAAAGAACACTTAATTTATCAAAGAATAAAAGTAATGCGTTACAGTTAGGACATATTTAAACCCACCTACAACCTTAAATCATTTATCGAGCCGAATAAATATTAAGTGAAAGTAACACAGCTTACACTTCACAACATTATAGTATTTAATTGGCAGGTGTTTTCAACTACTACGCATATTCTATAAACGCGTTATGAATATGGTATAAATAAATAGTAGCGAATACCTTTTACTATATTTTCTAATAATATATATATCTTTCAAATCCTGTAGTAGTTTTATACAAAGTCGTATTTTCTTATATATTTTTACATTTACTACCGAACTATTACTCATATTATGATCCCACCAAAGTTTAGACTAAGTAATTAGATGTTAACCGTGAATCATACTATTTACGTAGAGTATAGAAACGTAGTTTTATTCTTATATAAATTGTTTTTAACAAACACTCATCATTATTAAATTTTAATATATACGAAATGTGTCAAAAAACATTAAAATTCAAAATTCGTAATCATTTCAAAAACCTTGGAGGTGATATGTGCTTGCCATAAACACGTTTTCATAACCAGTGTTTAAAATATTGTAATTCCAATATAATTATAAAATGTTTCGCAATATATTTATTATTACTACTAATATTTATACTTTCCTAGTTTCGTTCAAACCTGTATCAAAATTGTCTCATAAATTTTAAGCATTTTTAACTCTTTATTGTACAAATAATATTTTTAATATGTAATTAATATTATCAAATACTTAAGTCTTAAATTTCATTATCCAAATGTGCTTAATATTCAGTTACATGGAAAAGCAATTTATTTTAATCAATGCCAGTATTGTATTGTAAATATGAATGTTAAAATAAAATTATTGAAATGAAATCATAAAAAAATTCTTTCATTTTTATACATTATTTGATATATTCTATGTGTTTAAACAAAAATAATAAAAAAGTATACATATATTTAAAATTTTATTGAAAAAAAAATATTAAATTTTTCTTAATAACACTGTTAAAATTGTTTTTCCTAAGTCAAAATAATATAAACTTGTTTATACAAATGTAATACCCTGAACTTGCACATACTTCATTAAAAAATATAATGTAATATTTAAACTAAACAGAAAGGAACACAGTCTCAAAAAAAAACTTTAAATTCAACATAATCCTACAAATACACAAGAAATTTGTACATAATATCACAATTACAATACTTAGTATTATTGAGAATCTTATAGTACAATGATAATGAATAAATTCATGATATAGTTACTTCCATGTACATATTAAAATAAAGTACAAAAATTAACTAATGTAAATTTGTAAGCTACAATGGCATAGTAGATTCATAATTTAAACAATTTCTAAGAAAAATATATTGAAGTATATGCAAGGGCAAGCCACATTATTGTTCAAAATCATTGTTCGTAAAAGACATATTGAGTTCTTTAACTACAGCTCAACTGAAATAACGACTTAGAGAATGAGTAAGTACTATTTGAAACAAACATCCATCCATTTGTTTGCCGTCCCATGATTTCATCTAAACTCATAGATTTGAATGCTATGTTCTGGTACATGGCTTAATGTCAATGATTGAAACCTGAAAGAGACAAATATTTATGTAATTGAACTTCTATTAAACATTTTGATATCTACAATTGACAAATATATAGCATACATATGTGCTAATGTTATTGAACAAATAATCCATAGTGATATCTTATAGTACTAAATGATTATTATTAACTCACCACTCAGAGCTCCTGTGATAATAATAGCCTTCTATAGTTGCAGCCGATTTGTGAAAGCATATATAGTAGAAGCCAGCAAAAGAAGCACCATTTATATCCTTAATTGTGTGATCGGGCACTAAAAAATGTTCCTTCCACCTCATAAACACATAATCAGCCTTTGCAAGTGATTCATAATCAAATGAGTCTGAGTTGAATGTCTTTAAATATGGTACAAACAAGTCAAACTTACTCTGGAGAGATAACACAATTATTAAAATTTACTTTTCGATATATATTCATGTTATATTACTTAGTTTGTAATACTTACCCAATGCTTTCTGTCAACATCCTCATCCGCATCCCATTTTCTCGTAAGAAATGGATATTTCGCAGAAATAATCTCGCCATCGAAAAATGTTGTGAGAGTCGGAAATTCTTCTGTTAAACCTTTTATTTTTAAATATCCACAAAGGTATGAATTTTCTTCGTCGACGTGCTGTAGAAGAAAGTGATGTCCATCAAATAAATATGCGCACTTTAACTACCGCTATTAGAAAGTTATATGTATAATTCGAAATAAATACAAAAAATATTCCAAACAGAATATGCAGAATGTTTTTGGTAATTTATAAAATGGATATTATTGTAATTTGCGTATTTTTTGTAGGACTAACCTGCAAAACAACTTCAACTTCATACGAATTTCCTTTAGACTTCTGATGCCCTTGAAATTTCGATCCGTTGTAAAGTAGGGACTTGGTCACGCCAGGTTGTTTTGAATTTGCTGGCGGTGGAGGAGTAATATCAACCTTAACGGGCATTATTATCCATTAAAACGATGACCTAGCTTGTTTAAATAATAAAATTTATAAATATGTTTCTGACAGCTAGTCAGGCACTGAACATTGGCGCATAGCCAAGTTGTATTATTTTACGCAGCCCTACTTGACAAGTTATCAAGTGTTGATTCCTTCTTCTAGCAAATTCTATAAAATATTATTTTTGGATAAAGATTGTTACAAATGCTATAAAAAATTAAACATTTTTTTTATGACAAATATTTCACCCAATCTTATAACAAAATAGAAATATCGTAAAAGACACGTTACAAGTTACTTTCTTTTGTCACATTCCGGTAGATTTCAATATAAATTAATATTCACAATCTTCTCATTAATTTGGAAAGATCTCAAATGTTCATTTTAAGTGTAAAAATTTATGAATCCTTTTTAACAATTAAGAAACTTACTTAACGTTTGTATTACTGTGGTTTGAGATATATAAAATTTAATGAATTAATCGTAAAAAATTGCTAGCTTGTAGTAAAAACATATACATATTTTAGAAGGCACTGACTGTGAATATTAGATATTTAAAAAGAGTCTTAAAACTTTAAGTCATACTTTTACATTTGTTCAAGTTATTTAATATATGTGTTGAGCCTAATGTGTAATGTGTGGTACACTGTATAAATTCCTCGTGTCTATGGTTTTATAGTATATGAGCTATGGTGGGGTTTCATTACTCGTTGGTTTCGTTGACCGAACAATTTGTTTGTAAATTGTTTTCCAATTTAATTTAAAATTAAGTTAATATTTATGTTTGTTCAATATGATTTCTCGTAATATTTCAAAAAGCATTTTTGTTTTAATTTGCTATTCAACCATATACGGATGGTAATCCAAAAGCAATACTAGTGTTATTTTCTCACATAATTATGGTTAACTGACGTTAGACTGTGCATCCTCAATTATGGCAGACCCAGGTTATTACCACAGTGATTATATTCGACACCCTGTCCTCTACGAGCTGGGTGTCAAGTATGGAATTAAAACGGAATGTATTCCAGAAATAGCATTGCCGTCTAAGTTGGAAGAGCTCAAGGATGTCATACGTAGGGAGATACGTAAAGAACTGAAAATAAAGGAAGGCGCCGAAAAGCTACGCGAAGTTGCTACTGATCGGAGATCATTGTCGGACGTAGCAAACATCGTTAAAAAAGCAAATTTAAAACTTAACGAACTTAAATCTGATTTGCAAGAACTGGAATCACAACTTCTTTTGTCACGCGGTCAGTCTACACCGACCTCTCCACAAGACTTGTCTTACGATGAAGAAATCATACTTGCCTCAGAAGCGGCTCAACAGCAGCGTCAATTGGGAGAAGGTACTGCAGACCGGAAGTTGGCATCATTGGAAAAACAATTAAATATAGAGTTAAAGGTAAAACAAGGTGCAGAAAATATGATCCAAAGCATAAGCAGCAGTAATCAATCTCGTGATAAAAAACTTCTTAATGAAGCCCATCAAATGCTAGCAGATTCTAAAGATAAAATTGAATATTTAAAACTGCGAATTTCAAAATTGAGTAAGCAACAGAAAGGTGATAATGCTGGAGCAAATGGAGATGGCAGAGGTACCGACCTTAGTGGTGTTGATCCATTGCTTGATGAAAGAATTGCAGAACTAAGGAATCGCTTACGAATTGAAGCTGCAGTTGTCGAAGGATCCAAGAATGCCATAAGGCTATTACAGAGCGACAAAAAAGTGACTGATAAAAAGGCTTTACAAGAAGCTCAGACAAGTCTTGTTGAGTCAACACAAAAACTAGACTTATTAAGAAGGTCTTTAGACATGCGCCGACAGGAGCTCCCAGTTGAGAGTACTGCATTTATAGAATTAGGACATGAATTACGTAGTACCGGCTCCAGCCCTGGATATGTTAGTTTGACGGGAGCCAGCGGACCAAGAAACTTGTTTGTATCACCTGCCCCTATGATCAGCCCGTGCGTTCAAGTCACTGGTACCCTGGAGGTTAGATTGATGGGATGTCAAGATTTATTGGAAGAAGTACCCGGGCGTACTCGCAGAGATCCACTTGCAAGTCCGTCGGATCTGAAGTCATTTGTCAAAGGTGTTGCAATACGCAACTCTATGAAGTACACATATAGTATAAAGGAGGATACAAGTAATGAGATCATGGCTGTTATGAAGCTCGATAATCACACGGTAGCCCAAACTAGTTGGCGACCTTGCTCTCAGCAGGCCTGGGATCAAAGGTAATATTTCACTTAATTTCTTTTTGGTCTGTTGCATACATAAGAGTAGGTTGATATATGAGTATTTGTCCAATTTGTATTCCAATCTAAATCTATATAAGAAACATAATGAAAATCTATATTTAACATTGAAAGCCAATACTAATTAAATATAATTCTTATTTACAATACTATGGCTTTAATATTATCTCATATTTTCTAATATTTCTAATACTTGGAATTGAATAGGGTGTGGAGAAGTCAACATCAATCTTTTCCTTGAATTATAATCTTTTATGATTCCTTGCATGTGTGATTAGTCACACTATCTTATCAATAAGCAACACTAACATATTTGTTATGTGAGAAAGAAAACTATACTATATATTTATGCATGAACTAGATCATAATACTATTATTATCTTGATGAAATGAATGAAAGTTTTAATAGCTATACATATTTATTGATACATGACAAACACTTGGCAAAAATGTTGTCAATAAAATTCAATAAACTGTTAAGAGGCCTCTCAATTTGTACAACTCATTTTAATTTGTATAACTTGTCATTTCAGATTTACAATAAGGTTAGATAAATCAAGGGAATTGGAGATTGGCATACACTGGAAAGATTGGCGTGGATTGTGTGCTGTGAAATTTTTGAGATTAGAAGAATTTATTGATGATATTCGGCATGGAATGGCTTTGGAACTTGAACCTCAGGGGCTTTTGTTTGCAGAAATTAAGTTCCTCAATCCGATTATATCTAGAAAACCTAAACTCCAACGTCAAAGGAAAATATTCAAACAGCAGGGTAAGAATATTCCTCGACCATCATATGGAGACATGCACATACCCGCTGTTGTACTCGGTAGACTTCTCAAACGTTCATCGCCTTCAATACAAAATATTCAAACTGCTCACATACAAGCTCAACAGCAAAACTTTGAAACTATTGAAAATAAAGATGTTGAGAACCCACATGCCACTCTTGTTGGAATGGCTGGGGTCAGACCTTTGGGTCTACCATCCACCCCTACTACACCACTAGTGCCTATACCACCACAAAAGCCAACACTGCCTTTATACCCACCACCTAATGTATCAACTCTTAGAATGGAGAAAGAATTGCAAGAGGCCTTTGCTTTCTTAGATGACTCTTACACCAGAGATACCTATATTTCAAAGGAGCCACAGTCATCACAGTGTAATACACCTCTTGTTGAGTATCCACCATCTCCATCACCAAAATTAATTCTAGATTTCCCTAGCAATGAGGACCAAATAGTTGAAGTGACCAGTAACATGAGAATTTCTTCATCTCGCTCCTCATCGGTCATTGAAACTTTAGGCAGGGAATCTGACTCTAGGAGACAATCAGGAGAGATGTCAATGAATAGCTTCAGACTATTAAGTGTTTTAGGACGTGGACATTTTGGAAAAGTTATTTTAGCTCAGTACAAATCGACAAATGAATATTTTGCAATCAAAGCTTTAAAGAAAGGTGATATAATAGCCAGAGATGAAGTTGATTCCTTGTTATCAGAGAAACGCATATTTGAGGTAGCTAATGCAATAAGGCATCCGTTTTTGGTAAACTTATTTGCATGTTTTCAAACTGAGCAACATGTTTGTTTTGTAATGGAATATGCAGCTGGAGGAGATCTTATGATGCATATACATGCAGATGTCTTTACAGAACCAAGAGCAGTATTTTATGCAGCTTGTGTAGTATTAGGTCTACAGTATTTACATGAAAATAATATAATTTATAGGGATTTAAAATTAGATAACTTGTTACTTGACACTGATGGTTATGTAAAGATTGCAGATTTTGGTTTATGTAAGGAAGGTATGGGCTGGGGTGACCGTACAGGTACATTTTGTGGAACACCAGAGTTTCTTGCTCCTGAAGTCTTGACTGAAACATCTTATACGAGAGCAGTTGACTGGTGGGGACTTGGGGTTTTAATATTTGAAATGCTGGTAGGAGAATCACCTTTTCCTGGTGAAGATGAAGGCGAAGTTTTTGATTCCATTGTAAACGACGAAGTCAGATATCCTAGAACGCTGTCTTTAGAATCAATTGCATTAATGCGTCGACTTCTACGAAAGAATCCTGAGAGGAGATTAGGTTCTTCTGAAAGGGATGCAGAAGACGTTAAAAAGCAAGCATTCTTCCGAAATGTTGATTGGGAGCAATTACTTTTGCGTAAAGTTAAACCACCGTTTGTGCCAACTATAAGTAATCTTGAAGATGTTAGCAACTTTGACAGTGAGTTTACATCCGAAGCAGCAGTCTTAACCCCGCCTAAAGAGCCTCGCCCACTGAGCAACGCAGATCACAAACTGTTTTCCGACTTCACATACATGGCAGACTGGTGCTAGAAACAAATATCTCAGTACATTTATTTTATTAAAGATTGATGATTATTCTTGATAATAATAAAAAACCCCATTGCCTTACAAATGTGAGTGAAAAAGCTGTATTTTGATATATTAATCTAAACTATACTAAAGGGTATCTAATGTAGATACTCCATGTTAACTTGTATTTAATGCAGTTGAATGCAATATTTTATAATAGAATGTATAATTTAATAATGTAAGTTTTAAATAATGCTAATCTTTATTTTTTTAAAAATACATTGTGTTACAGATTTATATATTTTGTAGTTATGAAATTAATTAACATAGAAAATAACTATTTTAAGTAAAAGTGTGTCAAATAAATCATTGTTTTCAGTCAATTCTTTACTTATCAGTGAAATAAAGGCATAAAAGAAAAAACACTTTCACTAACCTTCTTTAATTTTAATGAGGTAATTTGTTAAATAGTTCTCTGTTTATGAATATATCAACTTATAAAATATATTTCAATATTTAATAATAGATATCAATAATGTATTGCCAATTTATTAAAATTGCAAAATTATTGTTATAAAAAGAGCATCTATGAAAAACCCTAGAAATGAAATACATCAAAATGTTTTAGTCTATAATTTTTACACTATCACAATTTGCTATGATTCTTTCATTTACTCTGGAATATACAATTGAAATAAAATCTAGCTTCTTCTATTCAAAACCTGAGTATTAATAATAAATTTCCAGGCTTAAAAAAATAATTTAAAATATCAAATCGCCATTTAACTGGCCTAACATGCTACACTCATGTGTTATTTAAAAAAAAACACATTCAACTTGGAGATATAGAACAAAGAACAAACTCCACTCTACAATTGTATATACACATACCACACAAAAAAAGTCTAAAACATCAGCTGTAACAATATACTTTTATTCACATTCTCGAGCCCTTCTGTTGTAATACTTTTGCACGGTCAGTGGGCTCTATGTCATTACTATTAAGGGTGCTGCCACATTCTCTACTTACAACACAGAGAAATTCAGCATGTTCATCATTACCATAGTTATACTGAGAACCAATGTTAATCAACTGTTCAAACTTCCAACCATCTGACATAGTAGACACCATTTGAGTAAGTTCCTCTTCATGAAACTGCAATACTCTGTACACATGTTTTTTGGAATCCTTCAGAGGTCTTCTTTCCCTTAAACAAATTCTTTCTTTGACTAATCTGATAAGTTCGGTAATGTTGTAGAATTCCGCCTCCTCCAATACTCCCTCTTCGGCTATATCATTATTAATAACGAGTTTTCCATGTCGAAGATAATTCAGAACTGGAGAAAAATAAGTTGGATCCCTATCTATTAAATATGCGCCTGTTTCGTCCTAAAAAAAAATACAAATGACAATTGTTTCAAATAAGGAACTGTGAATATATTAGATTTGAATACTTACTCTGTCCGAAATTAAGTCACTGTCCTCTTGTACTAATCGATTAAGAAATGAATTTGGGTCCCTAGATAGCGTGGTTTTTGTAGTTAAAAAATAGGTGCCCCCAACATTAAGTTTAACCCACTGCTTACTACTTCTTCTTTCATTGTTAAATTTATGTATATTTTCTTCAGAAAAATCACCGTCACCTACGTAACCCGCCATGGTTGTGGTCATAGACAACTGACAATTTGCAAAGTTTTTAGTTATTTCGAGATCCAAGAAGTTAAGCCATTAGAGAAACCCATTCACTATCCTTCTCTCTTATATCGTAAGGAGCTAGCGACACTAAACACATTTATGCTAAAGTGACAGCGAGTACAAATGTTATGTTTTTTCAAAAACAAACATATATATTGAAAATATACAGAAATATTACATTTCATATGCTATTTAAAAAGTTTTCAAATGTGCCTGATATAAGTACACTATAATTACTGTTATTTTTCATTTCCATTTCGGTATTGTGAATTATTTATTTTAGTTACTTGATAAAGACTTGTCAAGATATATTTCACGATTAAAATTTCATCTTAAAGTAATAGGTATATAACATATATCAAAATTACACGAAAGACAATGAATGGGTTCTGTTAGAACGCCAGAAATTAAAATTATATTTTCTAAAAAGTGGTATAGTAACAAAGTAGCACATTTTTAATTTAATAAACAAAGTTTGGATATTTAATATTTTTTATTTCTAATATATATAACTGATTTCTATAAGATAGTTGTATTTTTTTGTCTACTTTATAGTCTATGACAAACAATTCTATTTCTGTTTGTCAAAGAAAGTTCGAATTTGTATCAAGTCATAAATTTCAATATTGTTAAAAAGCTACACTTTTTTACACGGTTTATGACATTGAAAAGTTAATACTTTTGAATAAAATGCATCTTTGAGGAGTATCCATTTGTTAAAAGCAAAATGAGTGGTCATTTAGAAAATGATAGGTCTGTTACAACTGGTAAAATGTATCCTATTGACTTAGCACCTCAAAAAATAACTATAGTAAAGAGTATGTCTAATGCTGAAGTGAAAATGGCTCACTTAATCCCAGTTCAGACGAAAACAACCAGCTCCAATCAAATAATCTCTCACGGTAACACTGGTTCAATGGGATTAATGCGTACAGGAACCCAAATCATTTCTCCAGGCGTCACTTCTCAGGTATGGAACCGTAAACTTCTACTGTCATATTCTTCAAAACATTTTAAACAATATTTTGTAGTAGTATCGTAAATTTTTAAAAAACCCTTATATTTTTGTTTAATTGCTATTCAAAATTTGTCTTTTTTTTTCAAATATTACTATTACAGTTATTTACATTTTGCTTAAAACATGTGCTCGTCCGAGAAATAAAAACTCTGATGAATACTACAAACCTTTTTATGCAATAAATATTATTTCCTTTTATACAGCCCCAAATGATAGTTAGCGGGTCACCAATACTACAAAGCACACAGATAGTCAGCCAAGGATCACAACTACTTGGACCGAATGCACAAATGTCGCAGCCTCAATTGATACCCGGCGGTCAAATATTAAGTCCCGGCACCCAAATAATAAGTCAGGGTACACAGCTGTCGGCTCAAGTATCAAGTAATAATGCAGTTTCTAGTACTGTACAGTCTAGTAATCCTTCCACTGCAAATAGTGCACAGTTGTTGAATGTTGGTGGCTTAGTTAGTGGATCTGGCAATTTAGTGGTTAGCTCCTCGGTGCGTACTCTGCCTTCCAGTGTAAGAGTGTTACCGCCTATGCAACACACTAGTAATAGGCCGGGTGAGTAATTTTAATGCATTAGTATAACATCCCCATAATTTGCTATTTTATAAAAATAAAGCCAAAAAGTTGTTATAACTCATGATCACATTAAATATAAATCGCTTGTGCTATATAGAAAAAGCTTGATACAATTTAGATATAATATAAATTATTGTTTCTTCTATACATTTAACTTTCATGTTGTATGTATTAATAAGATTTTATTTTCAGTTCTCTCCAGTGTTAATGTCAGCAGTGCAAGTGGTGTTCTTGTGAGTAAGGGGGTGACAAGTCATGTGCCTCGCGGTTTAGCAGCGGGAGCTTCCCTCGCTGTTCGTCCTGTAACAAACACACAGCCAGCTAATACTCAAGGTATACACATTACTAGCTTTCCGCCCACAGCTTCGCCCGCGTGGAGTTCGGTTATATCGCGTTTCCAAGAGAACCTTTCAAAAGTCTGGGATAAAAACTATCCTATGTTCTTTCTGAAGGTCAACTCTATCTCTGTACCAAATTTCATTAATATCAGTTCAGTGGTTTAGGTGTGAAAGCGTAACAGACAGACAGAGTTACTTTCGCATTTATAATATTAGTAGGGATTCATCCATATAAGTACAGTAGGACCTCGATTATCCGGACTAATTGTTGTCGGTAGGCATCCGGATCATTGAAAGTCCGGATAATCCAATATATGAAGAAAAACGGGCTTTTTGCATATGTACATATGTAGTCTGTACCATACATATGTAATGTTAGGTGTTTATTTAAAACAACAAATACATATGAGCGAAAATCAACGTTTTTATAAGTGTTATAAGTGGCGTGGCGTTATGCAAGTTCTGACATGTTAATCTATACATATAATAAAATTGTAGAAAAGTGCTGTCTGTACATTGAAAACAAAAATAAAAAAATATCAGGGGTTATTGTTATGTCGATGTCGAACCCAAAAATGTAATTAACTTTTTTTTTTGGTCTGTTTGTCTGTTCACGCTAATCTCAGAAACGGCTGATCCGAGTTGGATGCGGTTTTCACGAATATATTGTGGTATGCTTCAGTTATGCTTTAGTGTTTGTTTCATGTCAATCGGTTCATAAATAAAAAAGTTATGTCAAATTAAAGAGCTGAAGAACTGCGTATTCAATATTCGACCGGATGTGTCAATTGTATGTGGCTCTGTCTCGTGTTAGCAATCCCAGTAGCCTGTATGTTTTCACCCCCGATGGCGATACGTCTAATATTGTATATAGAGAAGCATTACAGTATAGTAGGTTTTTTAGCTACTCAAAATGACTGTGATTATGATCCAAAATAAAAATGAGTATATATTTAAAAAAAAACGCTGCTCATAGTCACTATTCCACGCGAACGAATTTGCGGGCACAGCTAGTGTTAGAATAAACTCGTCGCGATTGGCAGTCCGGATAATCGCGAATTCGGATAACCGAGGTTCGGATAATCGGGGTCCTACTGTATATAAGATAAGACTTGTACATAATTTAATACATAGCTAATTAAATATCATATCAGTAATTGAGAGCTGTCTAGGGGCAATTAAACATAATGTTTTACATCTATGTTTGTACAGTTATACCCCGCTTTACGCGAGGGATACGATCCGAAGAAAATCGCGTTAACTGAAATTCGCGTATATCGAGGTTTATGATTAAACACAATAGATTAAAAAAGTCAATATACTCTGTATAATATGTCCAAATCTGAATACATTTTTGAAATTCGCGTTATAGTGAAACCGCGTATAACGGGGTCGCGTTACTGTATGATCTTCATTACAATCCAGTTTATCATATTGTTTCTTACATAAGACTGAACGGACAAACCCACAGGTTGGTCGAGCAGCCGCGGCCGCGGGCGTGCGCTTGTATATGGCTGTAGAGCTCGCTCGCCCGCACCACGCGCCTCCGCACCAAGTGGTACTACAATACCCACAACTACTGTACTAACATGTGAGTGCATATTCATAATATGACTAAAATTAAACAGTTTTATATGTTACCATATATTTATATGAATACCTTATTTCATAAGCACAGATAATGTAAATGCTTATATCTTCCACAATACATATCAGTTTGAAACATGTTTTTATATTTACATAAAGTAAAACAAGTTACATATTTTTTTCTGTGGTTTTTTTTTTTAATCTTTCACAACAAACAGATTAGAATCAAAGTTAATGCTTACTATATCTTGTGTGTCGCTCTCCTGTCTGAGTTATTAAACAGCTTAAATATGTGGCTCTAGTGTATAAGATTAAACATAGGTAAGGAAACAAAGTCAGTCAGTTCAGTTCACAAAGTTCAGCCATATGCAAAAAATTGTAAAATATGATTATATTTCATTGATAAAGCTGTTTTTGGATGTACTTTTCGTATTTATTACTTCATATTAAAGTCTAATATATTTTTTCTGTCTATCCTTTATATCATTAACTGCAAAGTAATCCAAATATTGTTTAAATGTTGAATCTTATTAACATACTTTTATATAATACTAGTAAACCTGGCGAACTCCGTTTCGCCACCAGAAGGCTTTTATATAACATTTCGTTTGGTGATTAAAAGATGAAGATTTTTTTTTGTTTTATATTTGAAAAGGAAAATTTTTATTTCATTTCACAACTGTAATGAATTCATTTCGATTACAAAAATGAAGTGTTATTTAGTTGAACTACTCTTAGTAAATGAAAGTGAATCCAAAGTAGATACCGAATCGAAGCGTTATACGTGTCCGCAAATTATCCGTTTCATTGAAGTGCTCCTTAGTAAACCACATTTTTTGTTTTTTCGTCTAACTTTAACACAAATAAAGCGGATGGTTTCCAAACTCGTGAACACGCAAAATATAACTGCCCATGTGAAAAACAATGATTTTCTAAAGTTATCCCGCAAATACTAAATGGTTTTAAGAGTTCAAATTACAAACACAATACCTGTTTGTCACATGAAATTAACTGAGAAGAGAACAATGAGTAGCTGTCAAACAATGTATCATGCGACGGCACCATCTACTTAAAAATACTTAATATTGATTTTTAGTACATGTTATGTATGATGGCGCTGTATGTGACAAAAGATTTTCCCCCTTTTCTTGGTTCTTTCGTTCTGAAGTTATAGCGTCAGGATGGAAAACCGGACTTACTTTTATATAGTAGATTTCGAACAAATATCAAATTGTCATCCATACGTCGTTACATATCTGTCATTATACGTCAATTTCATAGCTGTCAATTGTGTTTCGTTATTCCACGTTTTATAGTGACTGACGTTTCATGTCAAGTCCCACGGGAATGCTGTCGAACGGGATAAAAAGTATCTTATTGCAATTTCCTGGCTCTAAACTACCTCCCTGCCAATTTTCATTTAAATCGGTTCAGCCATTCTTGAGCTATAAGTGGAGTCACTAACACGACTTTCTTTTATATATACAGGGTGACTGGTGAATTACTATCGATATTTAAGGACGTGATATTTGACGATCATATATGACAAAAATTAATATAACATAAATATTAATAAACTTCTAAGTAAAGTTAACCAAAAGTTATGTAATTAATTACGCATCGTGTGAACACCCTACAGATTAGGTATACACACACACTCACACAGACGCGGCGGCGGCGTAGTGTTGTATCAGCACGCCGCCGCACGCGTCCACACTTGGAACACTTGGAACGTGTACACACTTTATTTATTTATACGGAAATTTGGTCAAAAATTAAGTACCTAATTTTTTTACATAATTCGAATAAGAATCATGTACCGAGTATGCTCCTTAAATATTGATAGTAATCCACCAGTCACCCTGTATATAGATATCCGTAAGTCTTAAATGCCAATATGTGAAATACCACTGTAAACCTACTTTCTGGTCAACAATATTTCTATATTTATATATTAATTAATATATTATATACTCAGCGACTGGTGTTATATCAAGCACGGTCCGTCAATCGCCGCGCGCGCCCGTCCCCACTACACCGCCGGCTACATCCGCTCGACCACTGCCTTTACTACAAAGAAACTACCAACCTACTAAAGTAAGTAGTATGGAAATGTCTTCAATATTGTTATTGTAAAAATGAATAAATTTGTATCATATTTTATGATAAAGAGAATGATTTTATATTGAAAATAAAAAAAAAATCACTATAGACTTTATTTGCCTTATAGGCTTATACCAAAAAAAACTGAATTATTATTATTCTTAAAAAGTCTGAGTTAATTGAAACTCTAATACAGCAAACTATTGTAACTGCAATTTTATTGATGAGTTACACAATTAATCTATTCTAAGCAGACAAAGTCTCAGGCAACTGTCAGTAAAATTTAAATTGTATTTATAATGTTCTCATTCCAGGTGGTAGGTGTAGCGAGTGTTGGTATGCGTGGCGTGGCCAACAGCGCCCCCTCTCAGTTGTATTACGAAGTGCCACGGCCACAACAGACGCAACCATTACAAGTGCCAATACAGCCACAACTTACAAGGTCATTGACACCATACGCACATGCACAAGGTAATAAACTATGCTTTTATCCTTATACTATCCTATCCTTACACAATACACTGTCCTATACTTATCCTCTCTTCTTCCTGGCAATTTCCCAGCTTTAGCCAGGGTCTGCCTTACATGTTGTGAATAGTTTTGGCTAATTGTTTTTACGACCGGCCGCCTGCCTGACATTAATCCTCTTTGAGAAAGAGGGTTGATGTCAGACACCCTAGACTTATCCTCTCTTTAAATGAAACTAATATTTTCGGATTAATACGAAACGGGCATCTCGTCTGCCCGTGATCAAGATTGTTGCAAAGTAACATTGCAAAGTGAGTATTTATTTTTAAAAATAATAAAATACGCGTAGTAATCCAAAAATATTAGTTTCAACTTTCATTTAAACGAATACACGCGAAAGTCTTAGGTTTCTACCTTTAAGCAAATAGATTATTAAGAAATTAATTGATAATTTTTAAACATAGATTATTAAGATTTTTTTGTTGTCATAGGTTTAGTGTGTGTCATAGGTTTATTTATTTGTTTTAGCATAGATTATTTAGTGATATATTTTTTTCATAGGTTTAGTGAGCATAGTGAACGCCTCACAGTCTGATGTACGTCAGTTGTCCTCTTCCATTCAGAACTCCGCACCGCGACCATCGATATTAAGGAAGAGGGACATCGATGGGTAACTTAATAAATTTATTATAATGAAAAAGTTTATCAAACAAAATTTAACTTAATGTATGCATGTTACAAAGTTCAGTCTTGGCGCTTATACTATTTACCACTTGGGTAGGCTAGTTTTTTCTTGACCCACTAGATATGGTTATCATAATATGCCACTAAAATTAACAAAAAAATACTTAAAATATGCACATTTTTTTCTCAGATAAAAATGCTACATAAATGGTATGAAACACAGAGAAATGAAAAAAGAAATAAAATATATTGTTTGTAATACAGATGTAATTTAAAAAAATGTTGCCATTACTTTAAGACAAATTAGGTAATGGTGATCTGAAGACATTATATTGTTCTAAATCTCATGTGCGTCTTGTTATTCGCACCGTCATCTAACCCAGGTGTTGACATACTATTATATAATATAGACAGTATAATACAGTAATACCCCGCTTTACGCGAGGGATACGTTCCGAAGAAAATCGCGTTAACTGAAATTCGCGTATGTCGAGGTTTATGATTAAACACAGACAAAATTTAATACACAAATATAAAAATAATTCAATCAATCACTTTAATTCTAAGAACACTATACAATACATAGGTACTCCTATTTTTTACGATAAAATACATGTATTGTCTTTTGCGTTAAGCGGGGTATTACTGTAACTATTAATTAAACCATTTAAATACCAGGTCGCCAACGAAGTCGTCAATATATTCCGAGGGTACTGGTTGGGAGGATGTTCCCAGCGGATCAGGTTCAGGCTCTACCACTATATCAGCGGCGTCCTCTCCGCGAGATCTGGACTTGGAGCCGGGACCGGAGCCCGAGCCCATAGCGGAGCCCGAACACGACCTATCCCCTAGAAAGAAACCACGCAAACAAATGTTAGTCTATACCAATTACCAACAGATGGCCATACCTAAATCATATACTCACTATTAACTAGCTGCGCGGATTTCCGGGTTGTAAACTAGCCTATGTGTTATTCCTTTACGTCAGATACCTGTATACAAAATGTTATCAAAATCGGTTTAGCCGTTTGAACGTGAAGAAAACATACACACACACTCACAAACTTTGGCGATTATAATATTAGTAGGATGTATGTATCGTGAAAGAATTTAGTAAACTAATACGGTGTGAACGGAATTTAAAAGATCAAAACAAATTGGAAAAAGATACGTACATGTTACTGATTTTTTCTTATGTAAGACGTATTAATTGTTACATGTTATTCATTGTTAGGTCATGCAGAATTATTATGAAACTGACTTAAATCTATAGTCGTACCTTTTCCTTTTCTTTCATAGGGTAGACTCCATCAATATATTATATCCTAAACACAATTAACGCTGTTTTTGTTACGTCCTTTTAAACTTTTATTTATCTGTAGTGAATTAATACATAAAAAAATAATGATACAAAATATCTCCGTTCTGTTTTATAATTTAATCTTTTAAGTATTTATATTCAAATTAATAACAATTTTGTAATATCGTGTATATTTTGTATGATATATTTCAGATTAAGCAGTGAAGTTAGACAATGTGAGTTCCCAGCAGAAGATACTCCGCCCTCACCGCCGCCCGCTGCCCCGGCACCGCCTTTACCAAAACGTATGTTGATACATAATTATATTAAAAAAATATATACAACATTCTATACAGGGTGACTGGTGAATTACTATCGATACTTGAGGACGTGATATTTGGCGATCATATATGACAAAATAAAAATTAATATAACATAAATATTAATAAACTTCTAAGTAAAGTTAACCAAAAGTTGTGTAATTAATTACGCATCGTGTGAACACCCTACAGATTAGGTATACACACACACACACACATACGCGTCCACACTTGGAACACTTGGAACGTGTCCACACTTTATTTATTTATACGGAAATTTGGTCAAAAATTAAGTACCTATTTTTTTTACATAATTCGAATAAGAATCATGTAACCGAGTATTCTCCTAAAATATTGATAGTAATTCACCAGTCACCCTGTATATAGCAACACTAGAAATATAATAACTACATTGGGAGTAAACAACAAATGTATGTATGGAAATAAAAACCCATACAGTTCAGGAAAATTACAATTAGAATTGAAAGCCATTCAGTTTATTTTGAATGTGGAAATTAATTGCGGAAAAGATGATAAACTGTTAGCAATCGAAATATTTTTTAGTAGTCGTACATTCAAATTCAAAGCTGTGAAAGTTAAATGCCATTTAATACGACATTTTTAGGGTCATTAACTAAAATATTGTCACGCTACGGAATAGCAATCGTTAATTTGTTATAAAAACCATAATAACAATAATTTCCAATATCAATCTGAACTCTGAAGACATATTAAATCAGATACAGATTGTAAATTTTATACGCCACTAACACTGAATCACGAAACGATGAATATTAACACTGACGTCTTAATACAACGTCATTCACTGAACTTAAGCAAAATTTCAGTTAAATCATTTGAAAAATAAATGAAATTAAATATCAATATTTCAATTAACAATACATACATATTATCATCACATATATTTTTTATTGATGTTATCTTAATATCAGGTCCATCGCTAAGCTCGAGCTATGTATGCGGTTGGCGGAGTACAGCGTTACACTTCACACGGCCGTCTGATGTACGTCGCCGGGAGCCGAGAGCTCGTGATATAGTCAGCATCGCGGCTCAAAGACACGTGCTCACCAGCGCTGAGGGGTGGAAAGTACATCATTTGACGGCACAAATGGACGACCTGGTGAGTTAATATATACATAATAATGTATATTATGTGACATAGTAATCACCACTATGCTTACGGTATAGAACCTTATTTAGTAGGCGTGAAATAACAATACTATAATAGCAAGAGGCTGTTTAAATGAGTATGTATTACAGTACTGAATAATAAAATCATGTGACGTAGTATTATACACTAGTTTTTGCCCGCGACTTCGTCCGCGTTAATTTTGTCATTACTCATAAGTAATAAAGGTATAGCTGACCGGGCAAACTCTATTCCGTCTTCAATAACCCGGTATTGGTATTTATTAAATTTCTACTGTTTCAATCGAACAGAATGATTGACATATTAGTTAGTCGTCAAGTCTAATGTCAAAAATTCGTTTGTATGGGAAATAGAAAAGGGCTGTTTTTAGGGTTTTCCCGGCAATTATTCCAATTTTTCTCACCTTTCGAACCTTCCCTGAACTTCCAGAAGTATTTCAAAACTAAAATTAGCCAAATTGGTTCAGCCGTTCTCGAGTTTTAGCGAGACTAAGGAACAGCAATCCATTTTTATATATATTACTAGAAGACCCGGCGAACTTCGTTTCGCCCTATAATCAAGAAATATCTGTTACGTTTTTTTATTTATATTTTTGGAGTTTACCTATTAAAGCCATAAATCTCCGTGTTTTGAAGTGATTAGGAATGATTAATAGTTAATATGAGAGTTACACTGAGCTAGCAAAATAATAATTGTCAACGTTACTACTACACTTGATGCACAAACAATAACGATGGCCGACAACTGTGTAGGGAGTGAGAGAAGTCTAATTGTGTGAGAGAAACAGAAGACCGGCTTCGTTCTCATCCCTACTCCGTGCTGTTTACTGGGTCAGAAGTGACACCTGTAGATATCTGGCGGGGATAACTTATTAAATGACGATTGATCAGTTATCGACCGGAGATGAAAAATGATTAAATTACTAAAATAGCTATTAAAAAATAAGGGTTGATCGTAGAAGGGTGAAAATTTAGGATTGTATGTACTTTTGTACGTTGTATCATAAAAAAATAGTAATTAAAAATTTTGTCTAAAAAATAAAAAAAATAAATTTAGGGGTGGACTACCCCTAACATTTAGGGGGATGAAAAATAGATGTTGGCCGATTCTCATAGCTACCGAATAAGCACAAAAAATTTCATCAAAATCGGTCAGGTTGTTTCGGAGGAGTATGGGCACGAAAACTGTGACACGAGAATTTTATATATTAGACTAGAAGACCTGGCGAACTTCGTATCGCCCTATAATCAAGAAATATCTATTACGTTTTGAAGTGCGACAGAATGATTGACATATTAGTTAGTTGTCAAATCTAATGTCAAAAAAAAACGTTTGTATGGGAAATAGAAAAGGGCTGTTTTTATGGTTTTCCCAGTAATGAATCAATTTTTTTCAGCTTTTATACCTTCCCTGAACCTCCACGAACATTTCAAGACTAAGATAAGATAAATCCGTTCAGCTGTTCTCGAGTTTTAGCGAGACTAAGGAACAGCAATCCTTTTTTATATATATAGAAGATTATACATAGATTTAAGTGTAATCCTTAGGATTTACCTATAATGAGGTACAAGAATGTCACGAGTATTAATTTAAATGAAACTAATATTTCTGAATCATCTTGTCTGCCCGTGATCACGGTTGCTGCAAAGTAACAGAAACGTCGGGAGTGTGTAGATTTAAAACTAATAAGATAATGCGTAGTATTCCGAAACTATTTACCTATATGTGTTGGTAAAAGTAAGTTTTTACCATTAGAACTTAGTATAATATGCTACATTTTAGTTCTACAACTGGTAGATTTTAGTTTTAGGAATACAACAATAAATTATTACTTACTTGTTTACTTTAATAATTAACCATGCCTAATACCTTTATGGACATAACCATTAAGAATTGGTAAATCTTAGGTGTTACCTGAATATATTAGGGTTAAATTCAAGCTTTTACAGTTACATATATAAATATTATAAATCATATTCCTGCACAAGACAGATCTTTTTTATTCAGCCCTTGTAGCTAGTTATTTGGGTTGTTTAAATGTCTGTCTATAGTCATTTTATCACCTCTAAAATACTTCACCCATTTCTTTGGCCTTCCTATAAAATTATATCCATTAATACACACAACTTTCTTGATCACATTAAAACTTTTTCCCATAAGATGCCAGTCACAAGATATACTTAAAATTTAAATTATGGTTTAAAGAAAAATATTTAATCTGTTGATAAACAAGTAACATACTAATTTTATCTTATCTGTAGTTGCTCTGACATTTTTATTGGTAAAGTGGACAAGTAGGCAAATAAAAAAAATCTTGTCTATAGCTTTACTGAATGTCAAAAAATATTTTAATCACTTCAATGCCGGATTAAAATTGTCTTTGCTATTTATAACTGCATTAATAATTTGTTTTTTATATATTTTACTTTTATACAAAAATTCAAATAATATTTCTCAAAAGTTGCCTGACAACTGACAAAAGTTGACTCACAATATTTACTAGAAGACCCGGCGAACTTCGTATCGCCCTATAATCAAGAAATATCTGTTACGTTTTTTTATAAATATATTTAAGTTATACCTTAGCTTCGGAAACACGCGGTGGTTATGCTATTATTAAATAGTCGCTCATATACGACGTTTGTATTTTTAACATAGTGCCATCTATTGAATACTTAGTCAACAGATAATTGTAATAATGACAAATAATTTTCTTAAATAGACAAATAATTTTCAATAAAATAATATTGTGACTATAAATTGAGATGTAAGCAATCTTATCGTTCAAGTTGGATCAAAATGCATACGGAATTCAAATTGGATTTAAATCGGTTTAGTAGTTTAGGAGTCCATAGTGGACAAACACGTGACACAAATTTTTTATGTATATAAAGATAACAGAGTTCTTCTTAATATAATTTATAATCTTTACTGAACAAATTCCAAGCCCAATGTAATAACAAGTAATAAAAGGAAAATTTATTACACCAGGTGTCTCTAGAAGCGGATGTTGGTGAACAGTTGGCCGGTGTATTGGGCGCTGTGGCGGCAAGGGACCGTGGACCGCTTCACGCACTGCAACACACACTACTAGAGCTTGTCAAGGTAATCAATATTTCGTCATATACAGCATTTTTCGTCATATTGTACAGTACTAGCTTTCACCCGCAGCCTCGCCCGCTTGGATTTCGGTTATATCGCGTTTCCAAGAGAACCTTTCAAAAGTCTGGGATAAAAACTATCCTATGTTCTTTCTCAAGGTCAACTCCATCTCTGTACCAAATTTCATTAAAATCAGTTACGTGATTTAGGCGTGAAAGCGTAACAGACAGACAGACAGAGTTACTTTCGCATTTATAATATAAGTAGGTAGTGAATATATAGTTTGTCATGTAAAGAAATAGTATGAACCGTCAACTTAAACAGAATGTTGGAAGGTTTTCATATGAATTTTTTTTACAACTTCACATTGTTAAAAATTTCTAAACCTGTTCCAGCTCAATATTTATAGTTTCATCCACATTTATATACCATATATTGTAATGGTCAGATTTTTAAATATAAATCGTTTGTAATTTGTAATACGCAACTGAATTTTTGTAAATATTGTTTCGAAGATACTATTGAGTATAAATTATAATAAATACTAGAGTCTACAGTAAAATCGCTTTTGTAGGCAAATTAATAAATCATAGTAAAAATACTTTATGTATGTATATAAAATTAAAACTTTTTAATATTCTAGGGTAATATTCAAAGAAGTAAAATCGTCTGCGAAGGCATACAAGAAGCCCGGGAAGATATTCTGCGAGTTTTCAAACATCGCAACTTTGTTTCCGACATTCTGACACGTCAGGCTGACAAGAGATGTTTCAGGAAGCACAGATCACAATCATAGCATACACAGAACATACGCAAGAGACAGAATAAATCCTAGTTTAAATACAAACTAGAGTTCACTTGATACATAAATAAAAATGCATAATATTAGTTATAGATGTACGATGTAAACGAACTTAATATTATAAAATAAAATTAAAGATTTATTAAACTTAAGTAATATTTTAATGTAAATATAATAAAGAGAACTAATATGTGTATCATTTGATGTCAAAATATTTTATTTTTAGCCCTGCAATGCCTTAAGTGATATGCGATTTGTGTTGTGATTGTATTAATATAGTATTAATAAATTGTCTTTGTTATTTTAAATATCTCCCTTTTTTATTTAATATGGTAAAGCATTTTGTTGAAGTTATTTTCACAATCTTTCTATATACAAAATTAAGGTTTACCTATCAATATAACCATTTCTAGTACTTTAATTTTCTTTTCTTCTATCAATACTATTAATGAATATAATTTCCTAAAATATTATGATAGATCTCTAAGAAATGTAGTTTTATTGCAACAATAAATTAATTATTTACTGCACGAGTTTGAGTTGTGTTAACAGTACAAATCTTAATGAATGATAATTCTTAAAGAAATAAGAAATAATTCTTATAATATGACTACATCAAGCTTTATTGGTGTTAAAATAGTCACAATAACAGTCTCCAAGCGATATTGAAGTTTATATTAAAGGTATACTACGCTCTTTGAAAAAAATAAAATTTATGCTTTATGAAAATATATTTATGTATTATGTTTTTATGATAACGATGAAATTAATATTATTTATCTTAAATTCGAACATTTCTAACCCAAAAATATTGATTACCTTTTTTATTTGAATTTTTTTTCTCATAGTGTAATTATTATCAAATAATTGAAAAAACATAACAGTTGTCATCATTTTGTTTGCATTCTGCAGAAGCTTGTCTAAATTAAAGAATTACAGAACCGAGCCCTGACTAGTGACAGATGTCAAGTGTCAGTAACTAGAAAGAGGAAACACAGAAAGCGCGAAAGCTGAAAAACGAGGAATAAAAGTTATTAAAATGCTTTTATGGCACTGTTTTGTGATGTAAAATGAAGATATAAATAATCTTAAGCAAAGAAAATATGTTTCTATACTATAAGTTAAAATATGGTCATTATTTTCTTAAAACACATTATCAAAAACCGATCATTTTTTGTTGCAAAAAGATTTAAAAGTAAAGAAATGAAATACTTAAATGTTGCTGAGAAAAATGATGCTGCAAAAAACATTGCAGGAATTTTATCAAATTTTAAACATAGCAAGGTATGTTTTTTTAATTTCAATTCATGTTATTGCCATTTTCATAATTACTGTTTTTTTGCTATAAACCACTAGTTGTAAACCACGCATAATTAGGTTATTCTCAACAATATTTTTTACACTTTATCACATAAAGAATAAATTATTATAATATAGCTTTATTTTGCTTTTCACATATGTCCTATAAAAATTTATAGTGTATTATTAAAATTTTTAGCGCGAGGGTCTTTCTAAATTTAATAAAATTTATGAATTTGATGTTGATGTGATGGGTCAAAGAAGCAAAATGGTTATGACTTCAGTTTCAGGACATCTTTTAAATTATGAATTTGTAAATAAAAACGAAAGTAGAAAATGGCAAACATATGATCCGAGACAACTATTCTATGAACCAGTCAGAAAAAGCTGTCCGGATAACTATGAAAATATCAAGGTAAAGTTAAGATTTATGTAATATATTCCCCTTAAGAGAATGAACCATTTGTTGCTGTTAATTTGTCCAACTTAATATTATATGTAATTATTTTTAGAAAACTCTGCAAAGGGAGATTAGAGGATGTGACGGTCTTATTATATGGACCGATTGTGACAGAGAAGGTGAAAATATAGGTTTTGAAATTATAGAAGTCTGCAAAACCATTAATAGAAACATTAATATATATCGAGCTAAATTCTCCGAGATCACAGAACAATCTGTTAGACAAGCTCTTAATAACTTAGGAGTTCCCGATGAACACACAAGCAAAGCTGTTGATATCAGACAGGAACTAGACTTACGGATAGGTAAAGAAAATTCATTACATTATAATTAACAAATAATTATATTATATATGTATTTAGGATCAACAAAATCATTAAAAAAACCAATACTTTAAAATAACACATCAAAACTTAACTAGAACAAACTAACTATTTTCTTAAACCAAATACCTTTAATAAGTTTAATTCAATTTACAAAAACACAAGTTATGTCCATAAAATACTTTCCCCTATAAAAGTGAACCAACCACTTCGGGTGCTTTGGGAATTTAAAGGTTCCATTCAAATTAAATGTGTGTTCCCTAAATACATATATAAAGATATTGTGATAACATTTTAACTTAACAGGTGCAGTTTTTACAAGATTTCAAACAGTTAAAATACAATCGGCATTACCAAACAACGTAGCTAATAAATTAGTTAGTTTTGGTTCATGCCAGTTCCCAACACTGGGATTTGTTGTCGAAAGATGGAGGGCCATCGAAAATTTTATACCAGAAAAATTTTGGAAGTTACAAGGTACATTGAAAACATTATTATTATATATACCTTTAATATATCTTTAATTAAAATTTTACGATTTACTTTTCAGTCAATCACACTGTTGGTAATGAGAGCACAGATTTTTTATGGGACAGAGTTAAGATATTTGATAAAGATGTATGTAAAATATTGTATAATATGTGCTTGGAAAATAAAACGGCCACCATTGTTAATGTTGAGACAAAACCAAAGACCAAATGGAGGCCTTTACCATTAGATACAGTAGTAAGTAAATCATATATTAAGAATGAAAACAGATATATACAATAATACTATTAATTAAGTTTATTAACTATAAAATTAGCATTACTTGAATGTAGAATAAAATATTTTCTTTTTGAAATATTATTAAAAGTTCATAAGTATACATAAAAAAATTATGCTCTTAAACTTATTACTAATAAAGGAAGTTAGAAGAATAATTATGTAGAAATGTTTAAGATTTAGAAATTTGTATGCTAAAATTTAAAATGTTCACATCTCTGCCAATTTATTATTGTATCTATTAACATTTTTATAACTATAGTACTTTATTTAAGTGACATTTAGTATACATATGTACATTCATATATATACTATAAATATTTTTTTATTAAGGAATTAGAAAAGCAAGCTTCAAGACTATTGAAGATTAACGCGAAAACAACAATGCAGATAGCTGAGAAGTTGTATACGGCTGGTATCATAAGTTACCCTCGCACAGAGACCAACCAGTTCTCAAACGACATCAACTTAGTGAATCTGATTGAACTTCAAAAGGTTGATCCTAATTGGGGAACATTTGCACAGAACGTTCTATCTCAAGGACCCAACCCTAGGAGAGGAAATAAAAGTGATCAAGCCCACCCTCCCATACATCCTACAAAACATGTCACTAGTGAGTTTAATTATTGATTAATGGGGAGCTATTTTATTAGTGTGGGTGGCCTAGTGGTTAAAAAACCCACCCCTCATGCATGAGGGCGTGGGTTCGATCCTGGCAAGTACAAATGTGATGTTTTCAAGTCATATGTACTGTCATATGTACAAGCCCAAGCGGGGATTTCGGGATTTACTAAAGCGCGGCAGATTAATATACAGGGGGATACCTTGTACCCAGTTAAGTACCTCCACAAAACATGAGGCCCATATGTAAGGCCGCCCGTGAAGGATACAGGATCAGATTAGTAAAAAAAAATTGACCATCAGAAATTCTCAAGCGCCTCAGATTAAGGTAGGGTGAGTTAATTACACCTTAAAAAGTGTATATTCCACTAATCTGACAATTTGGGAGTGACGTAAAAAAGGGGAGGGCAACAAAGTTGTAAAAAAAACGTCATCTCGACATTCTCGAGCGTAGCTAATTTTTTTTTTATTTTGAAGGAAATAATTCATGAATAATGAAAAATATATAATCTGACGATTTCCACAAGCCGAAATAACAAAAATTCGTCGATAAAGTTAAATGTGTGCAGCTGCATGATGCCTACATTTCCTTCCCCGCGTCTCTATTCCTCTCTCACTCTTTCTCTATCTATTACTCTCTCACTCCGCACACTCTGGTTTCTGTTGCCATGACGCCATCACAGGCAGACTGTTTACAACGTGTTTCCAACGTTTTAGTTTTTTTGCTATTTTAATATTATTTTATTTAATATTATTCCAAAAAGAGTGTTCTATGAAACTTCTATCAGACTTTCGAGCTGGGAGAGCTCAAATGCATAGAAATATTATTTCTTTGAACTCAGCGAGCTCAAAATATCACATAAATTATATTTTAAGCTCAAAAATGTCATAAGTACAATTTTAAGCGCCCAGGAATGGAATTAGCTAGAAGTTGCAGGGATGGCCTTTAAGGTGAACCGTTTTTCTAATTTTTTTTTGTCAGGTTAGGCGAATCCCTCTACATAATCGTCAGATTATGAGACAGTACGTTTAGAACATAACTATTAACCATATATATCTTAATCTGACGCGCTTGAGTATTTCAAAATGGCGATTTTTTTTTGCACATTATGAAAGTGGCCACGAGTTTGCGTCCCATCTATATCGTCAGATTAGTGAATGAAAGCTTTTTTTTTGTGCACTTAACACTCCCTTAGAAAATCTGACGCGCTCGACAAAATTTTTTTTTTGTTCATTTTCAACCCTTAAATACAACCACCCGCATCACGCAAACGATCAGATTAACATACGTACATTATTAAAAATACGTAGGGCATTGACGCTATCAATATCTGACGCGCTCGAGGATGTCCATGCAACAGTTTTTTTTTACATATTTAAAAATCTATAGCCGCTTTCCCCACCGATGTAAAGGTATATATCATATAACATTTTTTTCTTCTTATCATCTAAGCTTTGCATCCTAATAAGTCTCTTCGACGCTCGAGTAAATCCCCATTTAGCCTCGTGGGCTCCCCTACTACTAAGAGTATATAGACATCACTGGTTAATGCATTCCCAAAGAGGGTTTATGTCAGGCAGGCGGCCGGTCGTAAAAAGAATTAGCCAAAACTATTCACAACATTTAAGGCAGACCCTGGTTAAAGCTGGGAAATTGCCAGGAAGAAGAAGAAGGGAGCTATTTTATTATATTTATTTGTCTGGGTTATATTGATCATAGGATGTTTTATATACAATAATTACCTACTACCATATGTCCAAGACCACAAATGTTCAAAAATAACAATCTATCATATAAAACCCCACAAATGCTCAAAGATAACCATCTATCATATAAAACCCCACAAACGTGTATAATATTCTTCAGATCTAGTCGACATGGAGCGTCGTGTGTACGAGTTCATAGTAAGGACTTTCCTTGCTTGTTGCTCCAAGGACGCGGTGGGCAAAGAAACCACGGTCAGACTCACTATAGCTGATGAAGGATTCCACGCGTCCGGACTCATAGTTACTGAGAGGAACTACTTGGACGTGTACCCGTATGAGAAATGGACCTCCAAATATATACACGACTATCAGGTTACTACAATAAAATCTACTATCATTATTATTATTGAATGATACCTATAGCATATGGTCTGAGTAGACTAAAAATTTATAGGGATCTATAATTAAATTTATTAATTTTCAGACATTCCTTGTATAATATGATATGTATTGTTTGTTTAGGTTGGCAACACTTTCACAGCAACCAAAGTGGAAATGTTAGAGAGTGAGACATCCCCACCCGAGTTACTCACAGAAGCTAATTTAATCACTCTCATGGAAAAACATGGAATAGGTAATTAAAATATTTTCCAACAAATAATAATACTTATCACAAGTTCGTTTAGTCACACTACAAACAGTTCGTTTTCGGTTTTTCGTCCTATGACCAATGTTGATGTTAAATTTGAAGTTTTATGTATGAAAAACTTAAAACTCGTTGCGTGTAACTTTGACGTTGCAAACGTGTGATAATACAGTCAGTGGCGTGCACATAGATTTGGGGTAGGGTAAGCAGAACGATTTGAAAAATGAAATACCAATTTTAAACAATACAAAATATAATATAATCAGTGCTTCTCGAACACTATGCATGTGTTAGTTTTACACACACATACAAACATTTCCCGTATAAATAAACGAGATTTATAGATCTTTCTTGAGAATTTTTGTATGGAAAATAAGAAGTGGTTGTGAATACCGCCGCCCTGGCTGCGTAGCGGCGCTAGCAGTGAGCCGCGGCCGATCGAAAATGTTTCGTTTTTACATTGACAGATGGCACTTACTAACAAATCATGAATTAAATGTATTTTAAATGTCTATTACCATTTGTATTTCGTAATGTATGATTAAAAGTAAGTTAGTCCAGTCATTATAGTAAGTTCACCTCGGAATTCGAGATACCCAGCTGTAAATCTGTAAATAGTTGTATATTGACACCCTAAAAGTTGTCTCAAAACCTACATATGGTAGGGTGTAAGCAACTATTAAATTTCATGGTCAAAGGTCACAAAAATCGGTTTTTTGCGCTTTTTTTGGAAATATCTCATTTCCTATGGTTTTTTTGCTTTTTGTATTTATTATCAATATTGTAGAATACTAAATTCTCTACAAATTTCGTTTCAAAATTTTTTTTATACGGTGTACCGTTTTCGAGATAGAGGGCGGAGAGCGCGCGGTCACCGCATCACTTCAGGTCAACCGGTGCCTCCGGTCGAAAAAGCGCCATATATAGTTGATGAACTATCAATAAATCAATGATTATAAATATTTGTCAATTTTTATTAACTATTATATTATATTTTATCATTTTCATCATGCATTAAATCTATATCTATTCAAACCTTATTGGCAGTCTATAATGCTCCGAAATCTGTGAAAAGTCTCGATCATCTTCGTTATACGCATTTCGTCAAGTCTACAAAACTTAATAAGCCTGTGCAGCTTTCAAATATTCCACCAACAAGTGCAGCTGCTCATCAACATTTCAACCGTGTATATAGTGTATATATTATCAAGTTCAAACCTGTTTAGGACATGATTTGGAACCCCAGGTATGGGGTTGGGCAATGCGAAATGATTTTCTGGAGCCTATCATGACAATTTTACCACCTGCTCCAGAAAATTTGCTAAATACAATTTTCTGCAACTGCAAAAGTGGTTGTGGTTCGCGATGCGGATGCAGGAAAGCGGGTTTGCAATGCTCTTTGATTGTTCATTGTTATTGATAGTTCATCAACTATATATGGCGCTTTTTCGACCGGAGGCACCGGTTGACCTGAAGTGATGCGGTGACCGCGCGCTCTCCGCCCTCTATCTCGAAAACGGTACACCGTATAAAAAAAATTTTGAAACAAGATTTGTAGAGAATTTAGTATTCTACAATATTGATAATAAATACAAAAAGCAAAAAACCCATAGGAAATGAGATATTTCCAAAAAAAGCGCAAAAAACCGATTTTTGTGACCTTTGACCATGAAATTTAATAGTTGCTTACACCCTACCATATGTAGGTTTTGAGACAACTTTTAGGGTGTCAATATACAACTATTTACAGACTTACAGCTGGGTATCTCGAATTCCGAGATTCTTACCTAATTTAAGCTTAAATGACTGGACTAAGTATGCACTATGCAGTGCTTATTTGCATCTATGGTGTGCTCGCCACTGAATACAGTTATATTAAAGTTTCGTAAATAAAACTGATATTATCAGATGTACAACGCATTTTTAAACTACATACTCTCCGCACTCTCTTGAGGAAAAGGGTAAATTATTACCATCCCTAAATTTCTTCAACGAATGCCGAGATAATACGTAAATTGAGTAATAAAAAACGCATAGTACTACCGAATATATTAGTATTATTCAAATGAATATTCTCGAAAGTCTTAGAAAGTAAATATATTTTAATAATATTATTTCCAGGCACGGACGCAACACACGCGGATCACATAGAGACTATCAAGAGTCGTCACTACGTGACCATAGAAGGAAATAAATTCAAACCGACCGAGTTAGGTAAAGGATTGGTCGAGGGATACGATATGTTGAGTCTGCCGATGTCTAAACCACATCTGAGAGCCAACTTCGAAACAGATCTCAAACTTATATGCGAGAGGAAGAAATCTGCTGAAACCGTCTTACGTGATCAGGTGAATATATTCAAATACTAGCTACGCCCCGCGGTGTTACCCGCGGATTTCCGGGATGTAAAGTAGCTTATGTATATAAGTATGTAAGTATATATTCCTGGACGTCAGCTTCCTGTGTACAATTTTGTTTCAAAATCGGTTAAGCCGTTTGAGCGTGAAGAAGTCACAAACATACACACACACTCACAAACTTTCGCAATTATATGTAATATTAGTAGGATTATGATTATGCTTGAATATAGCCAGAAATAACTCATTTAAGTATTTAAAAAAAATTGTTACATATTTGATGATAAAAGCTCCCTATACATATGATTCTTAGAAACAAAATCAGAATTGGCTGTTTTAAAATTATGTTCGACATAATTCCTCTATTAAAATTTATTAAGTTACACGAAACTAACAAAAATAATTAAATTAATAACTTTCAACTATTTTACAAAATCTACGATCGATTAATATACCACACCAAAGTGCTTTAGGAACGAAAGTGTCCTGATCTTTCGATCCTTAGGTTGTTTCTGCCAAATGCTTGTTCGGTTCGCACCCCTCCTACTCTCTCATATTCCTACAATATATATTAACTAGCTTTCCGCCCGCAGCTTCGCCCGCGTGGAGTTCGGTTATATGGCGTTTCCAAGAGAACCTTTCAAAAGTCTGGGATAAAAACTATCCTGTTCTTTCTCAAGGTCAACTCTATATCTGTACCAAATTTCATTAAAATCAGTTCAGTGATTTAGGCGTGAAAGCGTAACAGACAGACAGTTACTTTCTCATTTATAATATTAGTAGGGATAAATATTAATGATATAAAAATTTTATTACAGATAGAAGAATATAAAAAGCTCTACGACAAAATACTGTCGGAACAGAACAAACTGATTGATTCATGGAAACGAAGGTTACAGAACTACACGTGGAGTGAACAACCGTTACATACTGGTAAGGTTATTTATCAATGTTGTTGATAAAATTATCAATGTATTCCTTAAAGATATCATACAGTTGCAATTTTAACATATTATACAGGATACAGGATGTATTTTTTATAGATACAAAAATATTACATTAAAATGAATTCTTGTCGTTTAGAATTTTCAAAATTACTGTTATAAGTCAAAAATTAAGTGATGTTCATATTTATTACTTAAATTGTGAATAATGTTTTAAAACTTCTCACACAAATGTCTCTTATACATTTTTTATCTATTTAATATAAACTCAATCGTCATCGGAAGCTTTTTAATTCATAAGACATGAAACACAATTTATCAGATTTATATTTCTTTCGAATTATGTTCAAGTCAGAACTATCTGTATGTATAATATTTCTATGTTTTAAGTATGTTGAAAATATACAGATACATTATATTTGAATACCATACTTATAGCACATAAATAAATCGTGAAAATTTTTATATTTCAGGTTCCACAAGCAATTCAAATGCTACATCACGTAATACTCCGAGTACATCAAGGTCGTCTCGTACAGACAGCGGGGATACTGTAATGTGTCACTGTAACAGACCCGCCGTTATACTAACATGCCAGAAATCAAACAAAAATAAAGGTATCAAAATATATTACTAATTAATAATACTAAAGTTGAAGTTTCAATGCATAAATCATCGCACTTGCTTGTATTGGTATATGTACATATGTAGTAGAAAATTTTTGACTCAGTGTTACTCTGTGTGATACTCGATAAAACGTGGTAATACTGAGTATGTTAGTCCAAGTTTTCATCACACTAAATAGACAAGCAATAATGTAGACATCTTAACTTAATCTTAAATATAAATATGTATTTATCAATCACATAGAACAATCTTCAGTAATTCATTATAAATTACAGGAAGGAAGTTTTACAAGTGCGACGAATGTAAGTTTTTCAAATGGGTAGAAGATTCTTTGCCTTCGAATGTACAGAACCCATACGAAACTCCGCCGAATTCTGGCGGATCTAACGGCGCCAATACTAACCGCCCGACCACTAGTAAGAAACACTTATATACTAAAATATTAAATAATAATCAAATATGTAAAATGATTTACTAAATAGCAAGACTCTGAATGCAAAAGAATCGTGATCTCTTTTTAACTATAAAATTAATCAACTGAAAAATATTGACTGGTAATCACATAATATTTCCATTTTTGTCTATATATTATGTACATAGATACATATCCCTATTAATAATATAAATGCGAAAGTAACTCTGTCTGTCTGTTACGCTTTCACGCCTAAACCACTGAACTGATTTGAATGAAATTTGGTACAGAGACAAAGTTGACCTTGAGAAAGAACATTTTTTTTTTAATATTATTTATTTACTACAATCTGTCTCCTTCGAGGGACATTCAGAAGTATGTAGGTTTTGTGCTTTTGCAGACTCGCTTAGTATGTGACCTGTGCCACATCCTCATTGCTTAAACAGTACTTATGTTTACTGTGATTGGATTAAGTCTTGGGGTATTTTGCGCTTTAATCGTCGCGCTTTGTTATGTTTCTCCATTAGTGGCCGAGCCAGAGTATTTGGGTGTTGCAGGATTCGTTCTTTATAGGACTTGGTATGGCTTACAATGGCGTACAGAAAGAACATAGGATAGTTTTTATCCCTGACTTTTGAAAGGTTCTCTTGGAAACGCGATATAACCGAACTCCACGCGGGCGGAAAGCTAGTATCTTATATATGTTGTATCTATGTTTATCTACATATATATATGTATTTGTTACTATTATAATAATAATACTTTAATCCCCAGGTCGTCAACCTCGCCATTGTTCTCTCTGTCGTCGTACAGGACACAACATTACCAACTGTCCAGCCAGAGGGGTCTGATTTACTAAGAAACATATCTACAACATGAACTTTGTAAAATATTTGTTTTAATTAAAACTGGTAGAGTAAAGACTTTTTACTTCAATACTGTAGAATTTACGCAAAGAAATATGTATGTATTTCAGGATACTTAATAGTACCTACCTCATTGTTTAGCTTTAAATTAAAATATTTAAAGTAAATAAATTTGGCATTTAATATTTTAATATCAGACTAACCTATATAATTGTAGATACATTTTTCTGTTAATAATAATAAAGTGAAAACTATTGAATATAAAAACATAATAATAGTAAGGTAGGATGTACTATAAATTTTATATGTTCAAAGTTGTTTTAATGAAATATATTTCTTACTTTTTATTGCTAGTTTTTTTTACATTGAAAACCATAGAAAGCTTATACATATCGGCTACCATTTTTGCTTTTTACCCTTAACCTTCAATGAACCCAAGCTTTGAGAGCGTTGCATTTCTTGTTCCGCTTCAACTGTCTTATCTGTCATCATGTCAAGTAATATTTCAAATTTCAATCTCAGCATATTGTTTTCTTCCTCTAATTGTTCTAATTCCTTTTTTAAACGGATATTTTCTTTGTGGGCAGTACCAGCTCTTCCTGACGCTGAAAAAAAAAAACAATATTTCAGAGAATATTAAGAAAAAATCATCATTATTAAATTATAATACTAATGTTATTCATATGGATAAAGGAAGTGTTTGTTCATCGTCCAAGCAAAAATTTTAGAACATTTCATTGATCATATACCAATCTGAAGTCATTTTTAATAGTTCAATATATACTTCAACATATATTGTAACTATGGACAAATTGTGTTTTTGTTATACCTACAACATAATTATTGCTTTATTAGAAACGTGTTATTCAAGATGTAAACTAAAGAATACATTCACAAACAATATTCTAGTTACAACTAACATTTACCTGGTATCCATTGCCCTTCTTCAAATGATAATTCAATATCTCCTAGCTTCAATTTCAATGGGTTAATATCAATAGACAATTCTCTCGAAGCGTAATCACTGCCAAACTCATTTTTTATAACAGAAGTATCTTGTCGTCTTACTGGAATAGTTTTTGGTGAAAATTTATTACTGAATAACGGCATTATAATATTTTATTCTTCAAACAATAGGGTAAACAACCCTTAATAATTATTGGTTATCTACTTGTCAAATAGAATGTTTATTTGGGAGTAGGTTGCCATGACAACAAAAAATATTTAATGCCTTGTCATTACGACAGATGGCACTATATTGATCGCATTTCACGCTCGTTTGATTTTACGTTTATTAAGTCTTATCCACTGTGTAAATAAAAAACGAGAATAATAAGAAAGGTGGGAGACATTTAGATTTTTATTTACGCTGTCATGAAGAAAATAAATTATGAAAAATATTTTGAGAAGCTATTTCTACAGAATAGGATTTAGTATGTTATTTAAGATTTTCGCTAACACATGTTAACTGACACTTTTATCTAGGTTGCCTGTGATCACGTTTGTGAAACCGGGTAGTTTAAGGGAAAAACATCTTTTCATTGGTTATTTTAAGGGGTTTAGTAATTTAAAAAGTTCCATTATTATGTGATTCTCGTTAGAACATGACCCAATAAGGATTATCGCCTTATTCTTTAGTTCCTACAATTATAAGTACTAAATTTGCAATTATTCTTAATACTTTTAACACCCATATCAGTTTTTACGCTGTAAGTTGAGAATATATATTTTTGATTCAGTCTTATTCTTCATCTTTTAAACCCGACCAAATTTTAATATAGCTATATAATTTTGTTAATCGGACAGAACAGAGTCAAATTATATTGAATATTGATCACAAATATAGCGGGTCAGTTAAAATTTATATAATCATTATAATAATAATATCTATTACCTAGTTTTATTTATTGGTCAAAAGTATTTTTACCAGTTATAAATCCGACATTCTATAACTTATGATACATGAAAAAAAAACTCAACTTCAGTGAAATAAAATTTAATACTGTTAATAAATATTTCGATTGTGTAAAATGGTTAAAGAGAATTAAATAAATAATAATAATTTGTATATAGAAAAACAGTTTAAAATTGTATATAATAATATTGCTTTAGAGTTATTAAAATTATTAATATTCGTTCATATCTTCAGTCTAATTAACATCACAGCCGGCAACACTAGAATGATAGATCCAATTGTATATGTTGTCGCGGCTCCAGAGTACCAATACACTGAAATATACAACATCTATACATTAATTATTATATATAATTAAAAGTTTTTGCTCACAACTCATGGGAACATCAGATTAAGGCTGAGAAATAAATGTATGGTGTTTTAAAACAATACATATAGTGACGTACGTTGCAGCCTTTTCATTTGCCGGGCTGGTTTGTGAATAAACCACCACCCAAAGGCATAAAAAAACATTAGAATCGCTAAGGGATGTGAAATATAAGAATGGCAATATTAAATATATGTATACTGAGACAAACAAAAAAACATATTGGTCTCCTTTAATACGTTAATAATTAATATTTCTATTATTTTATGTGAATTAGGATTTATATTATTTTCCTATCTTCTTCGAAAAAAGTTGTGAATTATATCTGATATTCCTAAAATTCTAACAACTTATACCGATTGGATAATAGGTTTAACATAACGATTAAAAAAATATTTTTCTAAAGAAAAGTATTTTATTTAAACAAACTACAAAAAAAAAATTCTTATTGTAATCCGGTAACAAAAGTTAAGGCGACTTTATCATTTTTAATTTCTTTTGCAATTACTCTTCTCTTTGTACTGAATTAATTTGGTCAATATATATCAAAACAAAACATATTTTTTTGTCCGTCTATTATCTATAATATCTATATTAGCGACAAACTTCTTTGTATTACTTACTTGTAGATGCAAGAAGTGGCCCGGCGGCTCTCGCTAACGCTCCAAGTGATCGTAAAGTTCCAAGCACAGCGCCTCGAGCTTCAGAAGGCGACTGAGCTGATGCCATTGCTGTCATACAAGATACTGCAAACGCGGTCGCTGAAAAAAATAATAACATTTGAATATAAATATATCCTTATATAAAGCGACTAGTTTTTGCCAAATACGTCGCCCAATCAGAAATGTATAGCTGACCGGACGATTTTAATGCCTCCTTAAAGACAGTCAATAAATAAATATCCCATTTCCTTAAACTTGTTCTAAGCTATCATAAATATATATACAGTATGTATTACAGCAAATGGCGTTCCCTTGAACACGTTAATATATATCACTAATAGATTAAAATTAATATATCAGCATAGAAAAATAAGCACAAAATAATCTAAATAAAAAAATAATAATTTATTCACAATAATTTCGAAACCTCCTATATGTATGTGGCGCGGAATAGAACGTATGTATCTAGCGTAGTAGCGTTGCCGAAAGTGGCAACGTCGCAATACGCACGATGCCGAGCGGCGCCTTTTGTAGTGGCGGCATATTGAATTATAAAGACACGTAGTCGGATTGTTAACAGTAAAAATAAACATTTTAAATGTATGTTTAGTTTTAGAAATAACACTTAACCCGTCTCAAATGTATTGCTGACTAAGGAACGTGTCACTGAGGTACCTATTCGCAAACAGTAAATAAAAAAAAACAAATTCAACCATCATATCTAAGCCACGTTTCAATAACATTACAATAATAATACAGAGAATTAGACAGAATTTGCACGCAACGGCCGAGTAATGGACGCGGGGCGGTGGGGCGGTAGCGCCTTTGAGTTCTGCCGACACGTCGCCGTCATGTCGCCGCCCGCTCGTTGTTACAAAATAAACAAATGAGTCGTATAGGATCAAAGGCGGCAATCTACACTTAGACTGAAATCAGAGAATTGAAAATTTTCGGTTTGTGTCGTCCGTTTCAAAAATGATATTACGTAACTTTATTTTAAGTGATGTAAGTATTGATGCGCTTAATATTAAACTCTCATTGTGTACTATAAAAATAACAAATTGAAGAAATTTACAGGCTTAGAATGTACATCCATGATTCAATTTATACATTTATTTTATAACAGTAATCACAATAAATAAAATAATTCAATAAAAACACGGACACAAATTCGTTAGAAACTTCATACAGACGTCATTAGATCACGTGACCACACGGACGCTTGTGATTGGTGGAATGAGTTAGAATGCCGGGTTTGATTCTTATGCTGTTGTAGATTGCCGAATTTGATGCTAAACCTGATTTTCAAAAGGGATTTCACTCCGAGATAGTCGTTTTTGTTATAAAGTAAATTAAGTACGTAACGTTATTTTAAATTTCCATATAAAAATCTTTATTTTGATAAAATGTGCAGATTGCCGCCTTTGATTCTATACGACTCAAATACTAGTTAATACAGAAGGTCTACTCGCTGGGTACATGAATTTGCTTTACATATTAAGTTGGATGAAAGTTTATTTAAACCACAGTTTAGGCTAGCATTTAAATGATCATGGTGGTATTACACAATTTATTTACAGTTCACATGGAGGTATTAAGCAGTTTTAGGAAAGAGTTCTGAACTTATTAATTTTGTGGCACACTCGTTTAGTGTTATTTTTTTTTATGTTCTCGAAATGTTTAAGGTATTATGATACATTTAAATAATGTTAAAACTTACCTAGATTTTGAACTGCTCGATATGCTGACCTCCTCTGTCTACACATTGTTGCAATCGCCGACGGTTATTTTCGTGCACTTTTTGAAGTGAGTACGGATGCTGCTTGTTTTTCTTTAATATTTTAAACACTACGACGTGACTCATATTGAACAGGCGGCCGGCTCTTCTGGTGCTTGAACCGGGCTCCTCCTCAAAATGCCTTAGCACGTTCTCTTCCTGTCGCACTGAAATCACGGGTCGCGGGCCACCTGAACGACGCGGCACTACCGGCTCATTATTACGCATACGCACTAGGGCACTCACAATTACATACTCCTGCGCACTGAACTGATAACGCGGCATCTTTCACACGAAAATACGTAGACGTAGTAATGCGGAAATAATAGACGTGCGATCTCGGTCAGCGGCGTGGGATTACTAAATAGTAAATACTAAAAAATAAAATTTCGCGGACGTTCGGGGGCGGGGGTCGGGTGACACTTTAAAATCGTAGATCAATCGAATGCCGCATACGCGGCCCGTCTTTTATAAGTAAGTTGCGACGTTGCCGTTCTTCAAATATGCGTGTACAGGATGTTTCTTTTACATGTAAATTTAATATTTTTAATGATTTTTTTTAAATAAAAAAAAATAAAAAACATTTTGTTTTCGATTGGTAATATTTTTTTTAGCATGTATGGATGCTACATTATTGCGGATTAGTGGGAACTTGAATCGTTAGTTGACATACTGTATATCTATCCACCAATTTTTAGCCAAACCCTTTTACAGCCAGCCGCTCTTTAGTTATAAATAATGCAACTAACATTACTTTCTTTTATATATATAAAGAAAGATTTCAAATTAGATTGAACATCAGAAAAAAAATCCTTATAATATACTTTTATAGTTTACTTCTATTACCCATCACCCAGTTGCTAATAATTTACGTATATTATTTCATGATATATTTGTAATTGAAACTATAAAAAATAGCTTAACTAGGGCTGTATATATAAGGAAATCGTCACCGTCGTCATCAGCCTATCAGAGCCCACTGCTGAGCAAAGGCCTCTTTCTTACATGGAGAAGGTTTGAGCATAAATCACCACGCTTGCTCAAAACGGGTTGGTGATTTCAAACTTATAACTGTGAAACTGTAAGTCCAGGTTTCCTCACGATGTTTTCCTTCATCGTATGTCGGTGATGTCTAAATACTCTCAGAAAGTACATATGACTCCGAAAAATCACATTGGTACTTCTAAGGTTTGAACCCGCGCCTTTGGGGACCTTTTAACCACCAGGCTTAAGGAAAGTAAATATAAAATTTCACTAACAAATCGCAAACAGCACGAGTCCAGCCCACAGCCATGCTATTGGCGCGAAAACGGGTGGTGACGTCACAGCCGCTGACGCGACGCACAGGAAGGAGAGCGGCGTCAACAACAAAGCGACACGCGCGGCCTTCACAGCGCCACGAGCATTCAACCTACGAGCCGCGCCTCCTTGTAGCAACGCCATTATCACACCTGTTTATTATTAATTAACATTTATAATACAGAAAAATGATAATGATATTGCTTGTTATTGAAAACACATCTATATATTCACTTAGCAGTTTTTAATTAACTAAAAACTTGATTATATAAATGATACCTATTCTATGGAATAATAAAATGTTATGTAACTTTATTATACAGGGTGACTGGTGAATACTGTACTGTAGGTGTATACCTAATTTGTAGGGTGTTCACACGATGCGTAATTAATTACATAACTTTTGGTTAACTTTACTTAGAAGTTTATTAATATTTATGTTATATTAATTTTTATTTTGTCATATATGATCGTCAAATATCACGTCCTCAAGTATCGATAGTAATTCACCAGTCACCCTGTATAGTATACAATCATTATGATTTACGAAAAGTTTGGTTTTTGTGATTAATTAATTTAATTATATTGCTTTCCTCATATGTAAAGCAACTTCGCCGGCGAAATGAAATGTAATTTCATTGTTTATAGCAGTCACTAAATAACAGACTTCTAACTAATAAGGCTTAAAAAATACCCTTGATTAGTACGATTAATGTCCCAACCCTTCCTATTAAATATCAAAGATATAAATTGCAAAACTGCCCGATGTTAATTTTCATACATCCTTTATCTACGTAAACGCCTATAATTACTTATTATTTTGCAAATTACTGTCAGTGAAAAGGGAAGGATATTGTAAAATAATGTTTATATGAAATTTACACGCTATATCAAATTCTATACTACATATTTATATATATTATCTAACTTATTATTCTCATAACAGTTTGCACCAGTCGATTCATTCTCAAAGGAAAAGAAATACCACTATGAATCACGAATCTAAAAATATAGATAATTTTATATTCTAAAAAATTCCTTTATTATTAAAACTAATTGGGCATAAAATATTAATTATCACTGGAATAAGAAATAATAATTATTTTAGTAATATAAATGCAAATATAGAGGGAGTCATCATAGGTTTAAAAACAATTATTTTTTATGGGACACCAAAGTAAAGATAAAAGAAAATTACCTATATAAATGATTGCAATATATGAAGAAGGTTAAATATTAAAATAATAGTATTCATATAAAAATTTAACTTACCAATTACTAAGAACATCTTTCCTTGTTGCATCGCGGTGTATTTAAATGTATGATGTGTTAGAAAAGTTATCGTAAATTCTAGACCGGAATAAATAAATAGATAAATAAAATAGATCAGTCCCAGCTTCGATAATACTTTGTTCTGTTGATTGTTCAGATTCTTGACAGCAGTAAACTTTAATAAGTGATATGGTGACACAAAGTCATAGGCCTTCGATAGTGATAGAGACAGAGGTGATCTTTTCTCCTGAAAGAAAATCGTAGTTAACTGTAATAAGCATTTTAATTATAATTAATAATATGGGGAATAAAAAATCATTCATAGAAATTTGTAGGGGTTAAATCCACACTAATATTATAAATGCGAAAGTAACTCTGTCTGTCTGTTACGCTTTCACGCTTAAATCACTGAACTGATTTTTATGAAATTTAGTACAGATATAGAGTTGATCTTGAGAAAGAACATTGGATAGCTTTTATCCCAGACTTTTGAAAGGTTCTCTTAGAAACGCGGTATAACCGAACTCCACGCGGGGGAAGCTGCGGGCGGAAAGCTAGTATTAAATATATTACATATAGAACTCACTTTTGGTAGTGTCTCAGGTATAAACATTGTTACAAGAGTAATGTTTACTAATGAAAGTGCTAGCGCGTACAAGGCCGGTTTCTCACCCCATAAACCGGATGTCATATTACTCTTAGCAAACCATGCACCAGCCAAAGGACCAACTATGAAACCTATTGAAAATGCTAAACCCACCAATGCCTGTAATATTACAAGTAACAGTTATATGCATACTACTACAACAGGAAAATGCTCACAAAGATATAAAAAATATTCTAAATAGATTCTTTCTGTATAAGAATTTATGTACTGTTGACCATATAAGTACTTTTTAGTCTGTAACATTTAAATAATGTAATAGAACAATATTTAATTATAATTTAATTATTCATACCATTCCCCTGGCTCTAGTTTTCTCATCTGTAGCATCGGTGACTACTGCCATACTGAGGCTTACATTGGCTTTACTCAAACCTCCAATGAATCTAGCCAGCACAAATAGGCTGAATGTGCTCGCACAGCTCCATAATGCATGAGATAATGCTATGCCAATCTGGTAATATACAATTTTTTATTAATACAGACATTGGTAATATTATAAAATACTACATATTGATGTTTACCTCATTAATTGAGAATGTTTTGAATGTAGTTTTTGAACATATTTTTACAAAAAACATAAAGATAATCTTTTTTTTTTAAATAAAGTATAAATTATGACACAAATAAAACTGTGAAATTTTGTACATCTGATAATGTTAAACCTTTATCATAGCCTCTTCAAAATATCAGTACTAGATAATACTACGCATTTCACACTAAAATCTATCATATAATTTTAGAAATATACTTATTTAAAAAAAAGTATGCACATGTGTACTTACAAGACAAATTAAGAGCATAGGTTTTCTACCATAAGCATCAGAGAGACTCCCCACTATGGGGCTTGTTAGAAACTGCAAAAAACTATACATTGATCCTAGAGCACCCCCAAATAATACTGACGAAAATCTCTCCGGAACTCCAGTTAACTTTTGAAAACTATGAACTGCATGGAGTAAAGAAGTGTATAGAGTGTTGGAATTGCCTTCTTCTCTATTGTAGTAGTCAAGCAATGAAGGTAAAAGTGGTAGAATCATAGTGAAAGCAAGTAAATCTAGGAGTAATGATATAAACACTAATCCTATAGTCCTTGCATTACTAGTTTTGCATTTACTTATATTGTTTTCAGCTATGTCAGCTCCATTTTGTGGTATAAGATTTGATTTCTCTTTTCGATTTCTTAATTCACCATTGTGTGAAGAATTCTGAATACATAAATAAAAAATATATAAAACACAATTTATTTATAATTATGTTAGTAAAAACGAAGGTTCTTTAAGTAAAAAGTTTCAATAAATATTAATAAAATCTGTACTTTCTAACCCTCTAGGAGAGAATGGAGATATGCCCAGAATATTTTTCAAAACACTAAACCAAGAGTTAAATAACTGGTAGACAGCAGACAAACTCATGCCTCTCATTATCATTAAAAAATATATATAATTTAAAATTAATACACAATAATAAATATCAATGGAATTAAATTTAAAAATAGTCAATTGTAAAAAGAAACCAAACAAATAATATTTTTGATACACGTAGGACCGGTTAAGTTAAGTTCGGAAGAGCCTACTTTAAATAATAATCGTTCTCATTATTTTATAATTAAATTTACGATCTCATTTTTAAGAGAATAATAACAATAAACTTACCATTATGTATGAAACGCTAGTATAAAATTAAAAACTGTTTTTTGGTAGTGTGTAGCCGAAGCCATTTAATTGCTAATAACATAATATTTCTTGTTTCTAACCCGGACGGAACTTTCACTTTATAAGTTTAAAGTTCCAATCAAACTTGTTCAAAGAATCTTGACGTGCTATTGACATTTGATATGATAACATGACAGCCACGATACAGTTTCAAAAACGGTATCTATGTACCAACTCTCAATAGTGAAATCTTTATGTACTTTATAAGCTATAATCATTATTTATTTTGCGAAATCTACTACGGTTTAAATAGAATAACACAAATTTTAGTGATATATTCCAATTAAACTCGTATTACATTGAAAAACAACACTTACTTTATGCCCTCCTGTCATAGACAAACACAACGCCGTAAATTGTACCTAATAAAAATCGACGCCATTTGCGCGTTTTAACAATTTCATGAAGACGTAGATTTCATTGCTAAACAATACAAATTAAAAAATATGGGTGAAGATAAAGGTAACTTCATTATTATAATGCACAAATAATGATATCTGAGTACAGAATGTCATAGAATATATCTTTTGTACAGTAGATCGCCGCCGTAGGTCGCGGTCCCGAGAACGTCGCCGCTCACGTTCCCGGTCCAGAGAACGCCGTGAGAAAAGAAGAAGCAAGTCGAGGTCTCCATCCAAAAGATCACGCAGACGCAAGCCCTCTCTATACTGGGATGTACCACCTCCCGGGTTCGAACACATTACACCATTACAATACAAGGCCATGCAGGCAGCAGGCCAAATCCCGGCAAACATAGTAGCAGATACACCACAGGCTGCCGTGCCAGTAGTAGGGTCCACAATAACTAGACAAGCTAGAAGATTATATGTAGGGAACATACCGTTTGGTGTCACGGAAGAGGAAACAATGGAGTTCTTTAATCAGCAAATGCATCTTTCTGGTTTGGCTCAAGCTGCGGGCAACCCTGTTTTAGCGTGTCAGATAAACTTAGATAAAAACTTTGCATTCCTTGAGTTTAGATCTATCGATGAGACTACACAGGCCATGGCATTTGATGGCATTAATTTTAAGGGTCAAAGTTTGAAAATAAGGCGGCCTCATGACTATCAACCAATGCCAGGAACCGAAAACCCAGCAATCAATGTACCTGGTAAGTCATAGTATGTAGACAAATGTAGATTTCCTTTTAGCTTCGTTGTAATCAAGCTATAACCTTTTTGTTTAAACCTAGACTCTAAGCAATATTTCAAGTTTTGTTTGAACAACCCTGTCATATTATTTATAAGGTCGCTCATACATACTAATGAGTATAGTAATATTTGAATTCATTTTTAGCTGGTGTTATCAGTACTGTAGTTCCAGATTCACCCCATAAAATCTTTATTGGAGGTCTTCCTAACTATCTTAATGAAGATCAAGTAAGTCCCTAAAATTGAATTACTCTTATACAACTGGAAACATTATTTGTATATATGAATTCAAATATTTTATTTTTACCCTATATCTAATGGTAATTTATATTTTCATGAATATATACATGAATGTTTCCCAGTTAATATGCCACAGGTTTGATATAAAAATTATAAAAAATCAAATCACTTAACTATTTTTATTTACAACTAAAGATTAACCAAAGTATATAACAAATAGTTTCTGGTCTTCATGCCTGAGAGCTCTTCACATCAATTAATACTTTTAATTCTTACAATATCTACTTCCAAATAATAAGTAATGATATATTACTTACAACATTTTTGGTTATTTTCAAGCTACCAATAATTATTATTTTTTAATATACATTTTCTAAAGTTTGGTTAATCTTCAAAATAACGTGACAAATTGAGAATATGTAGGAGGTAACAGAGTCATCTCTATTTTTATTTGGTGACTATATCAAACATTATGTGTTACAGGTCAGTACCAAGTCCGCATTTATAACACATTTATTAATTTTTATTAGGTTCTTTATGTTGGGATCTCAGTATCATTCATACTAATGTACTTGAATCCTGTGAGGTACTTACTATATGTCAAATCTCCTATTATATCATACATATGGTTATATGCTTCTGATATGCCTTTGAGCATACTCTCAACTTTCTGTCATTCACAAGGGTCATTAAAAGCAGCTATATAGGACAGATTAGTCAGTTCCGTTAACATAGAGCTAGGAGCCATTGCCATTTCAGGGCGAGATTCAACAGTTGACAGGGCTTGGGTGCAGCCAGAAGTGAGCCGCGTTTTATTTTTGGTCCATTTCAGGAATTTTCAGGTACCCCTATCTGGGAGAGCGCGTACGTTTCGCGCTCAAATCTTTCTGATACAACTCACTGATATAGTTTGCTTTTTGCCCCTCCCTAGCTTAGATTTGGCACATTCGCGGCCCGCGTGTCACTGTTGTCTCTCATTCTCACCTATACGTCTTGTACTTGAACGAGACGTCGGCACGCCAAGGCAAGTCTCCTTCGTTCACATCTGATTTTAACATGCGGCTTGACACAGGTCAGATTACATTATATCATTGTTTGCTGCCTTTGAATAGCAAATGTTAACGGGAACAGTAAAGTTATCTTACATTTTATACAAATGCCAATAGATAGATCTCTTATTGTACTATAGTTAAATATTATGAACGAAAACCTGGCACTATTGTATCCGCAAAGCCTAACGAAAGTGCTGCTATACAGGTGAAAGAACTTCTGATGTCATTTGGTCAGCTGCGAGCTTTCAACTTGGTGAAGGATTCTTCGACGGGCCTAAGCAAGGGTTATGCCTTTGCTGAATATGTTGACATTTCTATGACTGATCAGGTGCGTTATTAAAAGAATGATGATATTTAGTAAATTAATAACGCCACGCCGGCACATTCTGACATTAAAAATCTTATAGGCTATCGCCGGTTTGAATGGAATGCAGCTGGGTGACAAGAAACTCATTGTCCAACGGGCAAGCATTGGAGCAAAGAACTCGACATTAGGTTGGTTCAAACATTTAGTATAAACATTATATATAAATGAAGAGAAGAAGTACATGACGTGAAGTTTCCAATAACAAAGGTATTTTGGGATATGAACAAAGGTAACCTCACATTTGTGATTCAACCCTTAAATGTAACATCAACAAATTTATAACAAAATATTGCTTAGAGTCTAGCGCCCAGAACATATTAAGGACGACCACCCATTCCCAATATTTAAAGTTATTAATTAATGTTATTGTCGCAACTGGGTACATAAATAATAAATATCATTTTGCAGGTAGATGTAAAACATAATGTGATTGATTATAATTTACATCTAATGCATGTAACAGTTATAAATAAACTACATATTACATTAAGGAATCTTATACTAACAAGGTTTTTTAATGTATGTGACTCAAGTTAGTCACTATGGCTGTATCTAAATATCATAAACATGTATGTTAATGCATAATTTTATTATTTTTACAGCTATGACGGGGGCTGCTCCAGTTACTCTACAAGTGGCAGGGCTCACATTGGCTGGTGCAGGCCCTGCCACTGAGGTGCTCTGCCTCTTGAACATGGTTACACCGGATGAGCTTCGAGACGAAGAGGAGTATGAAGACATATTGGAAGACATCAAGTACATAAAACATATACATATATATTTTAAGTTAATTTTAGCTCAGACTTTGACTACCATGTTTGTACATGAGTGGTCACAATAAAAAAAAATAGTTTTTATTACAAAAAAAATAATGGAAGAAAGTTTAAGTATACATATAAGATTTTAATAATTAATTAATTATCTCTCAAAAACAATTTAACAACTACATTGATGTAAATTACTTTTATGTGAAGTATAAACAAAATTACTTACTGTTATAAATATTCATATTCATACATAACTCATGCATGTGGAATACTAAAATGGAATATTATACATTTTTCGATTGTAACCAAATGATATTTTTATTACAGAGAGGAATGCAACAAATATGGGTGTGTGCGTAGTATAGAAATTCCAAGGCCTATAGAAGGCGTTGAAGTGCCTGGTTGTGGAAAGGTATAATAGAATATGATTAATGAATTTCTTGTCATTATAAATAAAAGGGCTTCTATTAAACAATATATATATATTTTTCAGGTATTTGTCGAATTTAACAGCATCGCAGATTGCCAGAAAGCTCAACAAACATTGACAGGCAGAAAATTCAGCAACCGTGTGGTAGTTACATCTTACTTTGACCCTGACAAGTATCACCGCAGAGAGTTTTAAGACACTTTTCCAATTAACATTTTGTCATTTATCCAGATTCTAATGATTTTTCGTAAATTTGACATGACTTTTGTGTTTCCCGCACATACGTTGTAACAACAGATAATAAAGATAATTTTATCTTTTTCTAATTTTTATTTTTATTACAATAAAGGTTTGATACAATATAACATTAAAAAATATTAAACACTATCGTTTTGTAACGCTGGTTGATAAGTATTAAGCGTTCCCGTTTCCGAGGCGAGAACAATTTTTCTCATTATAATGTATAAAACTCCTCCAATAAGAAGCATTCCTATACCTGACATTAAACTGATTGCCCACGCTGGTACAGTGTTCCCATCTGAAAATAATGATAAGTAGACACTTAAATCACAAAGAAATATATACAATATAAAACAAAACCTACCCAATCTTATTAATTTGTGTATTTTTTTAGTCCCACAAGTTAATTCTATGATACGAAACTAGACAATAATATCTTTCTGAGAGCTTGTGATAAAACTGATGGATTATTGAGTCACTTCCTTTTTTCTTATATTATTAAACAATAGGTATCTTATAGTTTGCTAGATTTTATTTACAACACGAAAAAAACAAGAAAGGTAAATAAAAATTTCATTTGTAAGGAATATGGCATATTTCAAATATTAAGGATGACATCAATATGGTGAAATTTAATATACTCGACCACAATTCCTACAGGGCTTCTGAGTAAATATAATTACAGTTACACTTTCAATGAAAGGTCTTAACACTACTCACGGTAATAAGTGCGTGTCATAACACGCCTTCCCCGAAGAATTTTGCGACGAGCTTCAGTTTCTTGTGCCAATGTACTTAAAATAACTGAAAAAATTATATTTATTTAAAGAAATATGTATATGTTTCTCTGGAAGAAATGTTTGGTATTTATATTTTAAACGCGTTTTATTTTATTTTCAAAAAAAAATATCAAAGGAAACATAAGTAGGTCAAATAGTGATTAATTTTTAATTTACAATAATTATTGGTTTATTATAAGCGAACCCACAGTTCATTCTAAAATGTTTGATACTAGTGTTTTTGGAAAAGTTGTTTATTTAGTCAATAAATCTCATTATAATATTCAATTTAGTAAACTATGTCGCATCTAGTGATAATCGGACGTGACTAATAATAAAAAAGGGTTACTCAACCGCTAACAAAAGTAAAGTAAATTGGTAAAAAGATTATAATTCACTGTCCTTACCCAATATTACAGCTAAATAAAACCAAAAATTCCTTTTCTCTGACATTTTTTCCTTTTTTTTCACTAAATCACAATATATGAACAAAGCTATATGATTTGCACTGAACGTGTTTCGATCTCGGTGGTATGGGTGTGTTTTGTAGAACAGTCTGCTTATCTCAATAGATAAGATAATGATAGCTAATACACGCCAAGTATTTCATGGTACGGATAGTCCTAAAAGTTTATATGAGAATATCATAAAAATATACAATTAAAATGTCATGATTTGTCGTTGTTCACTGGTATGTGTAACTGAATCTTCATTACTAGATGTTGGTACGATTTCACCAGCAAGGATATAGGTCATTACACTTTTATTAAACCTTCATAATGCACATATTTTGCTGGTGAAGGACATGACTAATATTCGTACTGAAGTGAAATGTGTAAAAATTACTCACGTCTGAGATAACATAAGGCACTTAATTTTAATGAAAATCTTTGAGGTATGAAATTCCTTAAGAACTACATACAGAGTTCCTTGTTTATCATTTATAAACTTGAAATTTATTATTGAACTGATAAAATTTAAGTCTGCAAGAGAACTGAATTGTATAAATTACTAAGAGTAACCAAAAAAATTGGCAATATGGTAATAGTGAAAATCAGTTTCATATTCAGAAAGCTGGATTCAACATAGAAAAAAAAGAAAATAACGAAATATGCTTTTTTATGTTTGAGAATAGCTCATCATGCTAAATCCAACGCAAACTTTTCTTTTAAATATATTCGGTAAAGAATGAACAATGTTTCACATGAGAAATTAATAATATTATTAACATTCTTAGATATATTCTAAGTTAGTTTAAATAAAACGAAAGTTTAACAAATACCTAAACTATATTTACTACTAGTGAATTAATTAAAAATTCAAAGTTTTATTGTTCTTTAAAAATATTTTGGATGTTCGCCTCTGATAAAACGCTGGAAGAAACAGATTCCGGATTTTTAGCCACATTATGGGTTTCTGTTTTCCGTTCACTGGTCACAGCGGCAACTGATTTATCAATAAGTCCTTCTTCGGCTACTCCTTCCGATTTCAACTGATCGTATTTTTGAATTAGTCGTTTTGTATACGATTCTCCACCTGGAGTTAGCATATTGGCACTTGTTCCGTGGCCTTTCGAATGAAATTTACTGTAAAAAATTGAAATTTTTTGAATACATAACGATTTACTTCTTATCACAACCAGCGATGTTTGTATATGTTTACGACTTAAAAAGTAAAAATATCTTAGTTAAGGCGGCCAACTTTCCGAAAACTGAATGCGGGACTTAGCTTTTCGTGAATGGCGGGGGGGAGGGGGGGGTTAGGGATTGGGAGTATCATAAAAATCTTCGCAACTGCTCATATTAAATTTAAGTACTCTCTTATGCGTCATGAGTTCAGAAGAAAGAAAGAAAACGAGATTAGCGCGGGCGCGATACGCTTGTCGCTATTATAGGTAATCTGTGTTCCTGCACTGTTGACCGTGGTATGGGTGTTGTGTAGAAGTGTGGTAGAAAAATAGGGATGCGGGACATGCGGGACGCATACAACGTTTTGCGGGACTATTTTACTAATAATTACAAAGCGGGATTTCGTCTAGAATTGCGGGACGGTCCCGCAGAATGCGGGACGGTTGGCCGCCTTAATCTTAGTAGCATTATACAACATACGCTCTAATGACGTCTTCTTTATATAAAATGGGTCTTATTTGCTGGTTCTCTGGCTTCGGTCTCGCAAATTTAGGTTCGACAATTGGCGGGAATGCCTTGTACACGTCAAACCACAAAGGTCTATCATCAGGTTTCATGGCTCCACGCATTAATAGTCCTTCAACTCTGAAAAAAGGACAAGAATAAACTAAATATTACTAAGATATAAATAACAAGAATGTGTAGCTGTAGGTTAATTTATAATGCATATCCAGTTTTACAGAATTACAAGATACTGAAGTTTATTAATTTTCTTTATAACAGTTATGATAAAATAGATATTGTCACACCATAAGCTAATAACTGGATCATTGATAGTAATTGGATTTTCAATTGGCATAAAATATTGATATATAGGTATCACCTACTTTTATTTTTGAAAGTTAAATACTTTATACACAAATCTTTTGTTTTGTATGATCAGAGTCAAGGTTTTTATGTTCCTAGGACATTTCATTATTTTAAACATATCCTTTTATTTAATTATTATATGAAAGTCAGGTAAAATAAAAAAAATTGGTTTGAAAGTCATTTAATCATCTTTATTATTAAATTAAACAAATAAAACAAAACTACAAAAAGAAGAATTTTAGAAAACTTTAAGCAGATAGAAAGAAATTTAATGGGACATTAATATTAAAAGTCGTTTTGCATGGCTTGAATAAAAGATCTTCTTAATGTTTCCCATCCATTACGCTTTGTTTCAGATATTAGTTTTTGTTTCAACTTGTTAATATCTTCTTCAAGTTCTTCGCCTAGTTTATCCATTTCAGCCTTTTGGTCAACATCCATTTCCTCACATCTAGAATTATAAATATAGTTCATTATATAAGACAGTGTGAATAATTTCAAAGTAATTTTAATAATATCTTACTCTTTCTTGAATGTCATGTGAATTTCTTTAAAGGCTCTTAATTTTTGTTTATGTGCCGCAGTTGCTTGCTGTAGACACTTCATAAAAGATCCCGTGAGATGTTCAAGTTTCTGTTCATTTTCTTTAAGTGCATTGTAATCAGCTTCTAAATTATTTAATACTTCAGAGAGGCTTCTCAATAGATTCTCATTAATTTGTTTCCTACAGAAAATATGTGTTTATTTAAAATAATTTGGATTTCGATAAAAAAAAATAGGAAAATCAAAGATTTACTTACCTTAAATCTAGTTGACGACTCATCACATGTAAAATCTTCTGGCGAGATTCACCACAGGCTTCAATGCCCTCATTTATTTTCCTTTTTTTGTTATTAGCAGTACTTAAGGCAACTAAATTTGGAACATCTTTCTCACTTGTGTCTCCTCTACGTTTTTGTTTTTTCTTAGGCGAATCATTTAAAAACTGTGATTCGTTGATGAAATCATTTATATCTTCAGAAATAAATTTTGATTTGGAGTTCTTTTTTAATGCTGACATTGTTAGCGACTACTTTTTTGAAGCTAATTAATTGTTGTAAAAAGTAAGACTTTCGATAAGGCGCGAATTGCAATTCCAAGTTTCAACGATAGAAAGAAAAGACAAGTAAGTTTAATTTCCCGCTAATTCCTTCTATTCCAAATTTAAATTTTTTAGAAATAATATTTTTTTTTAAGTCAAAGGTTAAGGATATTATTCCGTAAACAATTACTTACCGTGTGAAAATGGTACCAATTCTTTCCAAACGACTTGTAGCCATCGTGTTTGTTTATTTAAGGTTAATAAGTATAATTAAACAATACCTATTAATTACTACACACTTTTTAAATTGTATTTCAAAAAGATTTTCTTGACATTGACATCGTCTAAAAATAAGCCCATATGATTAGCAATCAAGAAAACGTTCAGTACTCATACAACGAGGGGTTAGATAGAATTTTAAGATTTTTAAGTTATCTTACATATTTATATTTAAAACACAATTAGATTTATTTTTCATTTCTATAAGAATAATATTTAAAAATATATATTTTTAAACAACATAATTGAAAAAAATATTAAAACTTTTTTTATTTAAGCTATGGCTTCATTCATATTTCTGATTTCACAATGAAATTATATATTTAAACTTATCAAGTGTTTATACTGATATGAAGAAAAACTAATAAATTATTAGTGATAATAGCTATGTTGCAATATGGAAAAAGCATTTATAAACACTAAATCTGCAAAATACTTATGGCAAAACTGAGAACTCAGCTGAGCTACACAATATTGAAAACAATAATAAAGTGACAGACCAATTAATTCAAACATATACTAAGGATAAAGATTACATTACTACTTTGCATAATTAGTATATACATATATATTGTGAACAATGTTGTTATCAAAAGCAATCGTATATAGGAAACATAACTTTTCAAGAATGAATTTTCTACTGAACTGCATAAAAAGACTTAAAAGTTCACAACAATGGTTGAGTCGTCAGAAAGCTGATCCATATGTAGAAAAAGCAAAGATGTGTAATTACAGGTACATAACTTTTATATAATAAAATTATTGTAACTTCGTCATTTTTACTATTTTCTTTTTTTAAGATGTCGTAGTGCTTTTAAACTAATTGAAATGAATGAAAAGGCAAATATACTGCATCCTGGTCAAAGCGTGATAGACCTCGGAGCTTCACCCGGTTCATGGACACAAGTGGCAGTTCAGAAAACAAATGCTGACGGCGCTGATTCCTCAAAACCGAAAGGGACAGTTCTAGCTATAGATAAACTACAAATATTCCCAATCGAGGTACTTTATAACTTAATATAATTTTTTTTGTTATTTTCATGATCAGCCTTATGTATCTGAATAAACTTTCCGCAGGGAGCTACAATAATGAGTAACATGGATTTCTCAACTATTGAAGCTCATGACAAAGTTTTAAAAGCTCTTAATGGGAAGAAAGTGGATTTGGTTCTATCAGATATGGCACCAAGTGCAACAGGAGTCAGAGAACTGGACAAAGACCGCATAATAGGTTTATGTTACATGGCAATAAGATTTGCGGCATTAGTTACAAGAATTGATGGTAACTTGCTATTCAAAGTATGGGACGGTAAAGAAGTGCCCATACTAGAAATGGATTTAGAGAGATTCTATAAACATATAAAAATTATGAAACCCAATGCGAGTAGGTCAGACTCATCAGAAAAATTTATACTCGCCAGAGGTTTTAAGGGAATACAAAAACCTATAGAAAATAGCTGCTATAATTCTTGATTTTTTGTGTTATCAATAGAAGTTAGCAGTATTCAGTTCAGATTCAGCAATAAAATTACAATTATGTATATCTATGAGGTAGATAGCAAAATTTCAATTTTTTTTCTTAAAAGTCTTAGCCATAACACAGTAAGCCTGGATATAGCAAAAATGCATTTTGTGACAGCCTGACTTGACAAGAATTTTGTTAAAAAATATACTAGTAATGTGTTTTTTTGGAAAGCTTTTTGTTTTGGATTTAGTTGAAATAATTTTTTAAATATAACATAAATATCATTAACAAAATGTTATAGCATATACTGTAAAGAATCAAGTAATGAGAGTATAAATTGTTCATAAATAAGTATGTTTAGTGTTTTAATTTGAAAATCAATGTTTTAATTTATATGAAGAACTTTTTTGTCTTTACAGTGAATTATAATCTGTTGTATATTCATTTAAAATAATTACAATTCAGTTTATAAAATAAACTAAATCTTTTTGTCAATTATTATTGTATAACTTGTTTACTACTCTGCATTGTCTACAATAAATGGCTTTAATACCTCACAAGTAGATAAACATTATAGTAAATATGTATTTACACTGATACAGTATTGTCTTCCACTATACATAAACAAATATGTATATATATTATGCATTATACATTGGTTAGAAATAGTGTTATATAATATACAATACTTGTTTAGTTTAAATCAAAAATATAATATTGTGTTAAATACTGTAACCTATATCCTGCTAATTTTTTTTCACCATTTATTTAATGCTTTTTTTTGTATAAAGGAAACAGGACAATAAAACAAACACAAATAAAATTAATCAATGTATTCTTAAATATACATAGCATTTGAGGCAATTTGACCAGTTGTACATCCACTTTATTATCAATAAAATATTTAAAACATCATACCAATATTTTTATTTTTAAATAAATCGAAATAATGTTTTTCAAAACGTTTTTGTCAATAAAAAATATCACAAGTAATTATTGTAGGATACAACTGTATCTGCTGATGGCGCTATATGGACGTAAATAGTACAGAGTATAAACGATAATCACAAAATATAAGTAGAGCATAAAATATAAAATTAATAAATAAGCCCACATTTTTACCTAAAAATGTTAAATCTAGAAGGTTGCTCTCTATCACTACTTGAAAATATTTGTGCATATACACAACCTAAGTTAACTTTCTGCGCGAAAATACTCTAATAAAAGACTAATTAAAAACTACATATTTGAATTGACAGTTCATATGATGATTTAAAAAATATATTGACTTGTGTTGCAATGCAAATCATATTCTTAAGGAATTGCGCGGCAAACGAAAATTCTAAATTTGAAATTGCAATTTGCTCACACAATAAGTGTGTACAAAGCTTATTAAACGTTTGTTTTGCGCGATAAAAAGCAGAATTTGTTATTTAAAACTGCATTTTGTTTACACAAAGTGAGTTCTAGTGGTAGAAAGCTTGTTAAGTTGAGCTGCGGACAGCAGGCTGGAGTGTGCTGCGTGGTCGAGTAACAACAGTCTTTCGCCGCGCTCGTCAGCGCAGCTTTGACGGCCTCTGCCTGTCTCTAAGGCGAAGCTACTAACCGCGCATATAGCGTAGATGAATGTCAGGACGAATAGAGCGCACCCGAAATCTGTAAAAAGTATATACATATATGTGTTCAATATAATGAACAAAAAGTTTGTTTTGAAATGTAATATTTTTTTGTTAAGGAAAATTAGATGTAAACATTGATTTAGAGACAATTTCCGATGAAAAGTGGAAGAATATGTCAAAAAAAGTAATATTTGACGGTTAAGTATTTGAAATAAGACATACCAATAACCAAATGCACTTTTGTATAGTTTAAGATATGATTTAATTATTAAAGTATTATTACGTTAAAATCTTGAATATTTACAACAACTTTAAAATTAAACTAAATGATCGTAATAGTGATACTAAAATATAAATGTTATAATGATATGATTGGTATATTTACGATATAGATTATGTCCTCCAAACAGGTTAATGATACAAGGATAACCATCTCCTATGATTATAGCCACAACTAGTAGTATAACGGCTACGCAGGCAGCCATTATCCACGGCAGAATATATTCCCTCTGATACTTTACAGCTCCGTGCAGAAGGGAAATACAGCACATGAGATATATTGAAGTCAATATAGTGCTTGTGTAAAGAAAAATAACAGTCACTGAAATAGAAATATAAGAATTAATATGATAAATTTTCTTATAACATATGAACAGCCTAGTTTATGTTTAAATACCTGAAGCTAGGTGCTGTGCTTTAGCGAATCTAAGCTGATTATTTGTGCTCACTACGTCGCCCTCGTGAAATGTTAAATGTTCTCCGTATGCAATTTCGTAGAATCCCCGTCTCTCGGCATCGTCTTCCATATCGTTGTGGAGCATTGATAGCATTTCACCAACATGAGATATACCTACTAACAATATTATCAGCACGAAAGACGACAGTGCCTGCAGAATGAAAATGAAACATAAATATTTATTTAGTAACTGTTTTTTTGATAATGATTCCATTAACTTACGATTTGATGGACGGCAATAAGTATTGTGCCCTGGCGTAAATTAAAAACATACAAAAAATTATTTAGGCGTATCATCATCTTGTGAGATGATTTACATTGCTTGTTTCTAACAAACATTTGGTATTTTTAAGCACTAAGGCATCTCTATACTATTTACAGAGAATTGCAAAAACATTGTTTGGGTAACTATAAGGATCAAACGGGCGCATGTAACTTTCTATCGATTTTTTTTTTGGGTGCGTTACGCGCATGCACGATATTTTAAGACGTTCCTGGTAGCTCAGCATGGAGAGTTGAATATTTAATATTGATATCATATTAAAAGAGTTTGTTTGTTGCTTTCTATATATTTTATACAACACGCGGTAAATATATCACAACGCCCCGAATAGATTTTGTCAAATCGAAGTATGTTTGTTCTTTATAATTTAACTAAAATTAAATGTTTTAACACTCTGCATAATAAAATACTCCAAAACATTAATACTGGAAGAAATTAAATAATATTACTAGAAAAAATCTTTTCTTTACTTTAAAATAATATTACTGGAAAAGTCTTTTCCAAGTTTTAAATTGTTCGAGCATAAAAATAACTATAATGTACGGAAATTCTAGATATAATGTACATCAAGATGGTCTTGAAGAGATTTGATATATCATTAAAAAGATTATATTTAAAACCAAATTCTATATACATATGACTATATATGGAATATTAAATAAAAACAAGGCATGAAGCGGTTCGGAAATCTGATTTTGTTATTAGTTCCACTACGTATACAATTTGTTTCATTGCATTTTTTCAATTTAATACGTTTTACTTTGTGTGCAATTCTGACGTCATCTTGAAACATTCTCAACTTGTGATTTCTATAAATATCTTGACAATTTGTAGTTCAAGTGCATTGCCAATTTCGTCAACGTAAATCGTTACAAACTTTGAAAACAGAAGTTCCCATAAATAAATCAACGACGCAGGTTTAGGAAATGCATTCAATGAAATGAGAAATAAATATTAAATTAATTTTATTTCACAACTTACAATAGTAGTGATAATGACTGTATTCACCGAACTTTAAGCTGGCGTTAGTATATTTGGATTATATAATAACATATTGTATCAATCACAAATTATAAAATATGAAAGTAATTTATCGAAATTAATATTTACAAAAAAACATTTTTTTCTATCTCATTAAAAAAAAAAAAGAATTTTACATGAATCTAATTACAGATAAAAAAATATATTTACATAACATGCAATATACTGAACGGAAGTCAATAAACAAAAATCATTATTGTGATTAGTACGAGTTTTTCCAATGCACTGAAAGTACCAAAGTTTTTTGATTTAAATCGTCGATAGTACCACTGTCTACATTTTCAATGCAAACTCGTACTATGCACATACGTTTTTAAGACGCGGTTCTATTTTGTAACAATGTCGCCACATTTTCACGGTTTATTGTAAGCTCCTCGTCAAGAGAAGGGAGCGTTCAAGTATTACGTAACGCAATTTAGGGGGAGGGGGGGTCTCGTAAAACGTTACGATGCGTTACGGGGGCGGAAGGGGGTGTCTCTTACAAAACGTTACGTAGCATTGTTTCTAAAAAAATATTAATAAAAACCCCCAAACTAGCAACTCTTTTATATTTTTATTTGTTATTCCAAGTTTGCAAAGCTCTTAATTGATATTTTACTGGGAATACCTAGATTGCATTGTCTTTTAATGTTGCCTCCGTGGTTAGTATTCGTTAGTGTTTATCCGTGAGTTCATAGTGTTTATACTGTAATTTCTTCAGAAGAGGGAGATTTGTGTCAATGATCTTTTTTCATTTAATAGATTAAAACTATACCAAACTATTACATATTGTTTTACGACTTTGGAAGAAATTGATCACTTGAGTGTTACGTAACGTTTTAATAAGGGGGGGGGGGGAGGGGCTACAGAAAAATGTTACTGTGCGTTACGAAGGGGGAAGGGGGGGTCAAAAATCTTCGAAAATTGCGTTACGTAATACTTGAACGCTCCCGAACATTAAATTTATCAAACAATTATTATGATGTAGTTATTTCAAATACAAAGTTATTAAATTACAGGGACGTATTAGTTCAAGGCCACGATGTGAAAACTCAGGCTCCACGAATATTTGAAATCATAATCCGTCCCTGAATTCGTAACAATTTATTTGTATTAACATATATATTATTGGCAAGTTATAATATAAAGTCATGAATATTTCGCATGCAAGTGGCAAAGGTCTGAATGTCTGGTCACCAAGGGACGGATCGAACCAAACAATTTTTATAATCTGTTATTTATGAAGCTGAATGCTGTCAAAGTCAAATACTAAACTCAAATTCATATTTGTCAAATGACAATGAACCGACAACCGCTATGTGTGGTGCAAGAAAATATGTTCGAAATATAATACATTTGATTTGATTTTTATAATTCATTACATATCATTATTCTTACACAAACGCATCAAGAAAAAGAAGCTAGTCGATACATTTAGAACTGTGCAAATCGATAAACTCTCAGAAAATAGGCGTTTTTAATTCAATTAGAAAAATTCCAAGTCGAATATGTTATTGATATAAGAAATAGTTGCTATTGTAAATCGAACCAAAATATCTGTTAAAACTTACACTATACTTATTATAATGGACAATAAGTGATTTATAATTTAAATTTTACATTCAAGACCGTTAATTGCTTATTACATATAAAATTGTACTTTAAGAATTGAGTCTCAATAAGATGAAGGTATTAGCCCAGTCGGTGCGCACTCGTGCAGGTTTTATGATACAAACATTAACACAAACGAATTAATTTAAAAATAAACCATTTCCAGAAAAATCTTTGGTATTTTTTATACAATCACATTCGAGTGCAGTGCCTAATATTGGGGGTTGCAGTTCTTTAATCAGACATAAATTTGTTAAAAAAAATTGCCGATACAAACTCGCTATAATGGTACTGAAAATTATTATATTCACTTCAATATTCATAATGACTTTATTTATTAGAAATTTTGCTTGAGATTGTGTTCAAATAAATAATATAATACATTGTTTTTTTTATCTTAGTTTCGTTTGTATGACGTCACCGATGTGGGCTCTACATCTAACAGTATCTGTACAATAGTTAGTCTATATGAATAGATGGACAGTTACATTCTATATTCAAAATATTCACATAACGTTATAATTAAATAACACTTATATTCACAATACATACGTTAAGTAACAATATCTTATATCTATACTTATACCGATCACAAATCCGTTGTCAGTTACAGCCTGGGTTTTTGTATTAGGATTACATTTTATTGAAAGCTGCTCTTTTACATACAACATAATGGCAGTTATTCAGTTACGTGATATCTAAGGGTTTTTCTGGCAATACAAACAGCATCGCTTCGTCTCAATTGATTTCATAGCAATAATAATTTAAAAAGACTTTTTTTATATTAATCCAAGGAAACAGGAACTAAATTCCATTACAAAGGTATAATTTTAAATCTTTCTTAAACTCTCACTCCCTGTGTTCCACTTATGGAATTTTTTAAATAATCATTTTTTTTTAAATCAGATTGCACGAAACCTGCCAGTATCAAAAGTTTATATGTCATCAAGTTATTCTTTTTTCAAATTAGTTTTTTTTAATCAGGCGATTGAGCAAGAGTTCCTGCCAGTGCAGTTGAGTCGTGTGTGGTGTGTGTGTTTAGAGGGGCGGGCGCGGTGGCGGCTGGGTGCGGCGGATATCGCGTATGACTTGAGGTGTGATTTCAAAGCTCCTGGTAAAGGCAGCCGCTCGAGGCCGTACACGGACGTCCGAGCGACTATAGCTCGACAGCACAGCTCTTGGAGACTTAATACTGGAGAACAATCGTTCATTAACTTTAATAAACAGTATTAAACAATATATGCTAAGTAGAAAATATATACTAAAATTTTTCAATGATAGATACATTTGCAATACCGGCTTCTGGTTATTCTACCAATAATTACGGCAATATATTATAATACACAAAATTATAAATATAGGTGGGATTTCAAATATGTTTATTTTATTTATATATTTTTTCAGCTTATCGTCGTATCAATTTAAGCTTATCTTTGACTCTTATTGATTGATTCTGTTTTTATAAGGAAAGTTTATTTAAATAAAAGAACCTGATAAAGCATGTCTTGAATATAATATTTTCTTTACACTTCTACTACTGCCCGCGACTTCTCCCTCGTTAATTTCGGAATTTGTAATATATGAATAACTGACGGGTCAAACTCTATTCAGCCCTAGAGGCCGTAAATAACCAGACATTAGAGTTTATTAAGATTTTTTTCTATTTCGATCGAACAAAATTTAATATACTAAGTCTATTTACTGATATAAGCTATCCCCTGCCAATTTTCAACCATATCCCTATATCACTCTTGAGTTACAAATAGTGTAACTAATACAACTTTCTTTTATATATATAACTCACCTTTATTGCTTCTCCACAGTCTTTCCATGCCGTTCCGATGTAGTGCCATCCGTGACAATTCACAGAAACTCTCACGTATATTGAAATCACACAGCGGGCTCACTTCAAAGAAGGCCATATGGTTCTTGGCTGCATATAATTCAGCATCGCGTTCTTGTACTTGACGCTTGAAGGCCAAGTGGAGTCTGTTACCGACAAGTACTTTTGGAACTCCGGGCGCATGCTGAAATTACATATTTCTTATGTAATAGTTATACTTGCTCAATATTCTTAAATAATAATATGAAGTCATGTGTTATGTAGGTAGATTACTTTATTATATTAGTTTCTGCTATATAATACACTGGCTTTTGCCGCGACTTCGTCCGCGTGGAATAGTGACTTCCGGCAGATTTTTGGTTCTTCCCGAATAGTTCCCGTTCTTGCGGGGTTTTCGGAATGGTCGAGTTCCCGTAGAATTTTCAGGATAAAACCTATGTTTTTTTTATTCACAATGAAATACTCTTAACCAACAACATATTTAGTGGTTTATTTGAATAAAGATTAATATTATTATGTTGATACAACTTAAACAAATTATTTCGACAAAATTAGGTACCATAAAAACGGTTTTTGAGAGTTAATCTTAAAAGATAGACATATACTGTCGCGGACTATTTTTTAGATCATTAAAAGAGCGATTATTTTTTAATATATATTTTTTGTGTATCTTGAACCGTTTTCACAGCGCACGCAACGGAAGACTTCAAAGATGAAATAATTTCTCCCGTTTTTTACACATTTACTACTATATCTTTGGTCCTATTGGTCGTAGCGTGATGTTATATAGCCCACAGCCTTCCTCGAAAACTGGACTATCCAACACAAAAAGAATTATTCAATTCGAACCAGTAGTTTCGGAGATTAGCGCTTTCAAACAAACAAATAAACAAACTCTTCAGCTTTATAATATTAGTATAGTAATACATATAGTTTTACTAGCTTTACGCCCGCAGCAACGCCCGCGTGGAGTTCGGTTATATCGAATTTCCAAGAGAACCTTTCAAAAGTCTGGGATAAAAACTATCCTATGTTCTTTCTCAAGGTCAACTCTATATCTGTACCAAATTTCATTAAAATCAGTCCAGTGGTTTACGCGTGAAAGCCTAACAGACAGACAGACAGAGTTACTGTCGCATTTATAATATTAGTAGGGATTGAATACTGTAATATTTTTCAAGTTTGAGAATAGAATATGTATAACAATACTTAACTAACATTTCTAATGAGAATTCAATAATAAAAAAATCATATATTTACCTTTTCAACCTCTTCAAGCCAGCGATCTATACTATCAAAGGACCACTTGTTTGTTATATCGTACACCAGTAAGATGCCTTGAGCTCCTCTCGAGTATGATCTGATTATTGTACAGAAGCGACCCTGTCCTGAAGTGTCCCACAACTGTAACTTCACACGTTTACCATCTAGCAGGATCGTCGTGGTTTTATATACTGTAATGGAAACAAGATATATATGTAATTTGGATAGGTTTTTAATCACTTATCTAACATAATCTATACTAATATTATAAAGCTGAAGAGTTTTTTTGTTTGTTTGTTTGAAGGCGCTAATCTCCGAAACTACTGGTTCGAATTTAATAATTTTTTTTCTGTTGGATAGTCCAGTTATCGAGGAAGGCTTTGGGCTATATAACATCACGCTACGACCAATAGGAGCAAAGATATAGTGGTAAATGTGTAAAAAACGGGAGAAATTATTTAATCTTTGAAGCCTTCCGTTGCGTGCGCCGTGAAAACGGTTCAAGATACACAAAAAATATGTATTATAGAATAATAGCCCTTTTAATGATCTAAAAAACAGTCCGCGACAGTATATGTCTATCTTTTAAGATTAACTCACAAAAACCGTTTTTATGGTACCTAATTTCGTCGAAATAATTTGTTTAAGTTGTATCAACATAATAATATTAATCTTTATTCAAATAATAAACAAATAAATATGTTGTTGGTTAAGAGTACTTCATTGTGAATAAAAAAAACAGGTTTTATTCTGAAAATTCTACGGGAACTCGACCATTCCGAAAACCCCGCTAGAACGGGAACTATGTGGGAAGGACCAAAAATCTGCCGGAAGTCACTATTCCACGCAGACGAAGTCGCGGCAAAAGCTAGTAGATAATAAAAGCTAAGAATTTAGCAAGTATTCATGGAAGAAAAACTAATATTTTCGGTTTTATATGTATGTAGTTAAAATTATTAGTATTATACATATTAGAAGTGATTTCTGTCAGATATGGAAGAGCACTTATAATTTTTTTTATCAAAGAAATCAGAATTAAAATAATAATAAGAGCTGGTGGTAAGTTCATAAATTAATAATAATACTGGGCTATACATATAATTTAGGAACCAATTAGAAAAGAATAAGTTTAACAAAATAAGTGAAAAGTTTAATAGCGTTTTAACTAATATTTAGAAGATCTTGATATACAAAGAATATTTTCTAACTTACAGTATATAAATAAATAATTTATTCATATAACGAAGTTTTATTAGTTAAATGAAATAAAGCTTCCAAGTTGAACATAATTTACAAAAGTTTTACAAAATCACGAAATGAATGTTACCCTAGTTTTAATAAATTAAAAATATTATGTCAAGATAGTATGATAAAATATATAGAAGCAGACACATTCCTTAATTTCAATTAAAAGATAAGTATTGAAAAACATTCATTAAATGTAACATTAGTTTAAAATAAGTATCAAATGTAAGTAAACACACAATTTATATAAAATATTTTTCTGTTATCACAAAGTAAATGACACTAAGTGTCATATATCCATTGTTTCATATTATCACCTTACTAAGAATTTCTTGATAATTTTTGCTTATAGTGAGTAGTTCTTGTGACAAACTAATGTTTTATTATAGTGGTTTAAAAAATAAATATGTAGTTATTATACTTACTTGCATATACATACATTTTTTTATTACTAAAAATAAATATTTTAATACTAAGTAAATAAAAAAAAATGTAAAGAATTCAATTAGAAACAAATTCTTACAGTCAAAATAAATCCAATAAAGTTTGTTACCAATAAAATTATAAAAATGCTATATAACATGCATGTAGTTTTTTCTATAAAACATAAAGTAAGAGCAAAAGTATTAGAATTCATAAGGAATTAGATATATATGAGATATAAAAGTTTTTTCTTACCACTTCCACTACAAAAAGGGGAATCAGCAGATCCATCTTCTAAGTCTTGTAATATTTCTTGTTTCCCTACATCCGAGTCACCCACGAGCAATACTTTTAACAAATAGTCATATGATTTTGGAGCTGCCGGTGGTCTGCCTACAAAATTATTAAAAATTTATGAATTAACTTTAAAATAATACATATACAATGTTATGTCATGTACTAAAGACTTATATTAGAATATAAAACTTTTATTCTGCTTAATTATGACTATTATATTCTTTGTGACTTTCCATTTATACAATATTTATTTATAAGCAATTTCAGTAATATTCACAATGGTTACAGTTTATAAAGACTAGAAATTATGTGTTTTGATTTATTAGACTCTTTTAAAACGACTAATTCATTGTTACTTAAAACTTTCAGAATTTTATATCGATTATATAGGATTTTGCTTATAATCTTTAAGACGTTGAAATATAAGAGTAAGAAATACCTGCTCTTTGGTGATAAGACCTCGGTAGGGTAGTGCTTCCATTTTGTGCGACTTGACCTGTCGCCTGTTGAGGAGCTGCTACCATCCCACTCGTTGTGAACATACTTTTAGTAAAAATCTCCTGATATTCAGGTGTTCTTTACCCCACGCAAATGTATACATAATACCGTCCAAACTTTAATCTTTATTGTTATCCATGTAATTTTAGTCAATTTTATTCTTAAATAACGTAATCGGTGATGATATTTTTTTTTTATTTATCAAAAATTCACTGTATGTTCAATTCGTAAAAATACACATACGTTATAGTTTACGCAAGGTTGTCATTTATTTCGTCTCATTTACGATCTTTCGTTCTTCTATTATTTAGTGGCAAAGGTGAAATACGTGTTTTATAGGACAAGATTACTTTTTATCTGCACTTATTTTTATTTTTAATTTTTGCACAAAAACAACACAATTTCAATGAAAATAATAAATTGTGAATGGCACTGAACGGTGATTGAATGAATACAGATTATCCGTACCTAATTTATTGGGTCATTGGTCACAGATAACATCATCTTAGGTTAGGTAGAAAGATTCATTCATTCATTTTTCATAAGGGATTTTTTTATATGGATAATAATATTAAGGCTATTTATTACTAGTAAATTACTGAATATCTATGAAAGGGAGTTATGTCAGTTTAACATATTTTTGTATACCAAATTATAATTTATTGTCTTATTTTTGTCTTGTCTAATAACTTTTTATTTGTTTCTTACTTTCTTATCTCTTTTCCGTTCCTATAAGTATTCGTGCAGTTTTACGCTAGTAATATTTTTAGAGATGATTTTGTCACGAATAGGTCAAATATAATAATTGTTAATCTTAATAAAAAAATAAAATTGTACATCCACTAACAATGAACATACCATTACAATATTCTGAGGACTGCAAATATAATAAAAATATACCTACCTATTCTAGGAATAGCCGGCAAGGTCTTCAATGTCGCCTTTAACGCCGTTTTTTTAAAATGTAATTAGAGTCATGGAACAAATACCTTTGGCATCTTAGTAGTTGACCACTTATGAATTTCAAGTAACCACGTAACAACAAATATTTGTCAATCCACGTATATAATCCTATTGAAGTCAAAGAACACAAAAATATTTTTTGTTTTGCATAAAATAACAGTGGATTTATTTATTAACTGTGGTTTAATTTATTAACTTTAATCTCATTCGTATGCTTTTTTAACTGTATTTAATAATTATTTTTAATTGTAGAGTATTAAGTTTTTTCCAATTTTTTTTGTTATAGCTTGTATCATTGTAAGATAGAGCTGTTTATACGAGTATAATCTAAGGTCCACCGATATAGTCCTGTCCAAAACAAGCAAAACTAACAACATCAACCTATGGGTACCCACGGCTGGCCAAAGGCCTCTTCTCACATGGCGAAGGTTAGAGCATTAATCTCCACGCTTGCTCAAGGCTGATTGGCGATTTCATACATATAATTTGTAATTCTAAGTCCAGGCTTGTCACGATGTTTTCCTTTACCGTCTGTCAGTGGTGTCTAAATATACTCTTACAAGTAAAATATATGACTCGGAAAAACACATTTGTACTTGCGAGGTTTCGAACCCACACTCTATTTCTAATATAGTGTATTATCTATGTCCACACTCCTTTAAATGAAAGGCTGACCTTTTACCTACAGGCCATAATGACTTGCTATTAATTGGATACAAAAAATATTTTTCATCTTTAATAATACCTAACATAACTATATCTCTCTGAAACACAAAAGATTACGAATTATTAAATAAATAAGTCAAGACAAGTGTACTCAATTCTTATCATTATTTATTATATAATAAATTTTGATACATTTTGTAAACATTGTATATTTATCTTTAACATAATAATGTCAAGTGTAATATCAAAAATGGAATATTGCTTTAAATGCAAATTATTTACTGTATAATGTCATATAGATACTGAAGTTGCCTTAAAACTAATAAAAGTTAAATACTAGTGAGCTTCTCGGCAAGGAACATGTAATTTGATTAAAATTAGTAGCATAATGAATTGCCTTATATATATGAATCATTATCAAAATCTTTCAAGTCCAGGCAGAGGGAATGACTGGCTGTATTTTTCTACTTCCTCCTTGAGATTATTTATTTTTGCTTTAATATCAGAATTCTCTTCAATGAATTTGTTGAAGTCAACAAGTTTTGGTCCAGAGGCTTTAGTAATTTCTTGAGCCAATGAGAGTGCTTTGTCAATGTAATCAACAACCTTATCAATGTCAGATTCTTTCAAACCCCTAGTAGTTAGTGCCGGTGTGCCTGAAACAAGAATAACATTATTAAAATTGCAACAAACTTGTCATTGATTATTATTCCACCTGATCATAGATGGACTCTCTAAGTAACAGTATATTAACTCTAACCTTGATGATACCTAAATAAAAATTGCTAACAAATATTAAGCTATTAGACTTTAATTCCACAAACACTATGTTCCATAAGAAGTATAATGTAAAGAGATAAAGCCAAACATTTGTATTGAAGATTAATACTCTTCATACATTTTTAAACATTATTAAATAAGTTCATTTAATATAAAAAAACTTTTTGGAATGTAGGTTATTTCACGATTTATCATATTTAGAGGTGTTGACTGATTATGTCGAAACAAAAAAGATGATCTATGTTGTATAAATTATGTGCAGAAAACAATTATGGCAACAGATATCTTTTGAATCAACAAAAAATTTATTGAACAATGTTTACTCAAAACATAGATAAATATTATTAAATTATTTTGACATATCAACAAGTATTGCATCTTATCAAAATAAGCAACATTTTAATTAATGATTTGAACTCTGTTGAGCAAATATTTGAACTTTGATGAGCAAGTGTTAAGATTTTGGAACAGATTCTACCCAGTTTTTCATTTATGTTGCTACTATAACATAATGTATGTTTTTTTTTTATCTTGTAAGGGATACTATTAAATTATCATATACACACACACATGCAAACATGCACACACACACATGCATATAACATTATATTAAACATACCAAGGCGTATTCCACTTGGATTAAGAGCACTCTTATCTCCTGGCACGGTGTTTTTATTGCAAGCTATACTGCAGAGTTCCAGTATACGTTCAGCTCTTGCTCCTGACAGACCTTTATTACGTACATCAACTAGGGCTAAATGTACATCTGTCCCGCCTGTGGCTATGTCGTAACCTCTGGACTTAAGACCTTGACATAGCCTTTGAGCGTTGTTTATAACCTATGGAGAGAGAAATATGTTACTAGTTTTGTATGCAACTGTTCCCTTATATGTAGTTGTATGTTAGTTATGCTTGGTGCTACTATTTAAAAATATATTTTAATGTTTAAGAATAAAATGTATGAGTTTATAAAAAGGATTGTTGTGTTAGCGACACTTTAAACCATTGTTATATAAGACGATTTTTCATTACTTTTCCTTTTGACATATATCCTTTGAACTTAAAACTGTTTAGTTTTTTTACGATAAGTAATCGATTTCACATGCCTATACATTGAAAGCAGAAAACTGCTTCAGTAAAATAAAAAAAGACAAATGTGTACTTTCAACACATGATGAGTTCTAGGAAAATGAAAATGTAGGAAAATTAACTAGATTATTATTTATTTTTTACCTGACGTTGGTATTCTACAAACTCGGGTAACATAGCCTGTTTCATGGCTGTGGCAATGGCAGCAATTGCATGGTTGTGTGGACCACCTTGTAGGCCGGGGAACACAGCTTGATTTATTTTACTTTCATAGTCATACATAATTTTCTCTCCTTTGGAATTCACACTCTTAACTCCCTTTCGGAAGAAAATAACTCCAGCTCGCGGTCCCCTTAACGTTTTGTGAGTGGTTGTTGTTACTATGTCACAGAACTCAAACGGACTGGGTACAACGCCTGGAATGATTATTTATTTCTTATAGCAAGGCATACGAAAAATATATAAGAGTAATAGAATATTTGTTATCATTATAAAACGTAGCTTTAAAATTATTTTACAGGTCATGGTCCAGTAATCTCCGATAGTGAAACTAATAGTGATTATATAAATGACGTCAGTTCGTCTTTGTTTACAATAACCGTCTGTAGTATATACTCATATATATATTATTGCGTAAATAATTGCATCATTTATATGTAGTATTGTTTTCATAAATATTATTCTTAAATATTCCACATATTTTTTTAAACCTTGATAACAATTAATTAAAGATAAATTATGAGTTTCAGTTTAAAATATAATGAGTTTCTTAATTGTTTTAATGTCCCAAATACTTTTTTTAAGGTCATCAAGGTTTTTCTTTGAGAAAATTCTATTAAAGAAAATTAAATATCTATTAATTTACCTGCTGCAACAAGTCCTGATATATGAGCCATATCAGCCATCAAGATAGCTCCATTTTCATCAGCTATTTCTCTGAATCTCTTGTAATCCAGACAGCGGGAGTAGCAACTCATACCAGCAATAATTAGACGCGGCTTGAACAACTTAACACTTACAGCTAACTGTTCGTAATCAATCAATCCACTCTTCGGATCTACCTGTGAAGAGGAAAATAAACATATAAATGTAGGTCTTAAGTTACATATATACTAATATTATACATATGATACGGATTAATGTAATTATGGAAGACTATTATTTAACTTTAACTTGCTCGACAATTATCCTTTTAAATGTTTATAAAGCAAATAATAATTATTTTTTATATTTATTGGTTACATTACCCGAATTGGTTAAGTTACCCGAACTCATATTAATATATCTTTTTCACCTAATATTAAATATCTGGAAGGGATTGTTTATAGCAATACCTCTAATTTTACATATCAACTGGTCACTTTTTCAGTTTTGTGTGGGTGTAATAAGGTATGAATAAATAATTATATTCCTAAAAATTGTATAAGTATTAACTCACTTTATATGGCATGCTTTCAAAGAATATGGATGTGGCGGAAATTTTCTTTGTAGCTGTAAAGAAACCATGTGTAAGATGTCCTCCGTCTGGCAAGTCCAAGCCCATGATGCGACCATGAGGTTCAACTATTCCGGTATAAACAGCAAAGTTTGCAGGTGATCCTATATAGAAAAAAAATTATTTTAAGTTAAAACCTACTTCTAATAATGTAATCTTTAAAATACAAACTTATTATGATATAAATTAAAAATACATTAAGAATGTGTCACATACCAGAATATGGTTGTACATTCACACCCCATTCTTCCGGCTTAAGTTTGTAAGCTTGTAAAGACCTCTGTTGGGCAAGAATTTCCACTTCATCTATGAATTCATTGCCACCGTAATATCTAAACAAATTGAACAATAATTATTGATGGTTAATATTTTAGGTTTAATTTAATATAAACTATTTTGTTTTGCACAACTCAAGATTAATAAATTATAATTTAACTTTAATTATACAAGGTTGCTTCAATTACTACATAGTTTCATATACAAAGATTTCTAAGATTGATTTGTAGTTTTCTCTTAAAGAGGATAAAGAAAATAATAAATATATTTCCTCCGTATGGGAAATTCCACAATAATAAAATAATTCACATGTGCTGGTATAGTTTTTAAATAAATTATATATTTTTCGAACCTTTGATGTGGCATTCCTTCAGAGTATTTGTTGTGAAGACATGAGCTCAAACATTGAAGAACAGCTACGGAGGTGAAATTCTCTGAAGCAATCATTTCCAAGCCGCTAGCTTGCCTCTGTTTCTCTTGTTTAATTATATTGTATAATTCGGGATCTGTTTCCCACAGATCTCCATTTAAAAGGTTCTTATTCATAGCTGCAGTTGTAATTAAATTTCGAGATTGGGAATGGAGCTGTAAAAAATATATTAAATCTTAGATGAAGCTGGTTTTAATAGCGGAGACGTACTGAAACAATTGGTTATTACAAGGTCTATTAATATAAAGACCTTAAAACGCTGACCCCAGATAAGACATAACGCAATCATAAATAAAAATTGATTGTTAAATCACCACAAGGCACTGTGAACGTGATGTCATACATTTTAGCTAAAATTTTAAATTAAACTTTTATTTTCATATAAAACAGATCTATCTACAAGTAATTTTATTCAGAAAAATTATTATATTAATAAATAGATAAAGAAAATAATTAAAGTTTATACAAATAAAAAACTAACCTCTCCACGTCTAACGCAATGTTACACCACAAGTTAATTTAAAAGTTTTTACATTGAATGACTTTAACAAGACAACAAATTTCAAACTCACATTAGAGGCGATTTTTCCTTGAAGTTCTGATAGTAGTGACCCTGCATTCGATACTGATTTCGCACTTAGTTTTCTAGTAACGTTATGAAAACAGGTTTTAACAAAAATGTTGCTCATGTTTATTGCGTTTGTACTAAGATGTCGACGAAATATTCCTCAATGGGTTATTAATTCTACAAAAACAAGAACGAATATTATCAACATTGATAACCCATTATGAACCCTATAATAATGACCACATTTGACGTTTAAATTTTTAAGATCATTTACCACCACTCCAGTCAGTGCTGCCAAATGAACATACACATAAATTTAATATTGCATCATAGTTTTTATATTTATTTTAAAAACGTAATAATTTTTAAGACTGTAGAATATAAACATTACTAAGAAATTTAACTGCACACAGTAATATCAGTTTTTATAAGCTGTGTACAGTGTAGGACACAAGCTCACGCTAGGATGAGTTGCACGTAGCAGTTAATATGAACAGTTTTGTCATTTTCATTAGGTTTGAAAAAATATTTTTAGTAGGCATACGATTTGAAATTCTCCTTTTTTAAATATCGCAGCAAGCGTTTGCTTTCAAATAGGTTTCTTTCTTACAACTTCTCCTTTTCTATTTGGGTTGGTTAAAATGAATTCAAAAGAGGAATTCAAGTTTATAAGACGTCGTTTTTAAACTTGTACGTAACTATGTATTAGTATATTAGTGATATTTGTTTTAAAAGTAGTCAGTTTTTTTATATATAACAATTAAGTTTCTGGAAATGATTTTTGATGAATAGCACTATTCTTAGGTATATTAATTATTTATCAATATAATAAATGTCTATTTTAAGAAATACTAAAATATTTATATATTCTTTCGCGATAAGAGATATTTGTCTGTTGTTAGCCAGAGATATGTTAATTGGTCATTACGTTATCAGATTATTAAAAACTTTGGGGAAACCTGTAACTTATTAAGATGTTAGGTATTTCCATTACAAAAAAAGTACAGGCCCTTATTTTTTACTTTTGTAATGTATATTGCTTGTGGCGTTGTAGATTTGGACTTGCCACCGGTAGAGTGAACCAGTGCTGAACTGGCTCGGTACGAAAGGGCCTGAAGGGCCCATTGGGTGTTATATATGTATTTCTTATAAATCATGTAACATTTAAATTTAATTGTTATTAATTATTAAACATGAACTTAACTAAAGGTTGACGGTAGGAGGGGCCCCATAGACATGTTGCCTTTTTAGAAAAACAAATAAGTACAATATACAATGTTTTTCAAAATATTGTGGTACATATTATCAAACAAGAAAATTTACTCTCTTATTCAAAAATGTTACTAATCTTGTTCAAAACTAATATGAGATAGATGTACATACCCCATAAACTGTAATTTAACTTACTCTATCCCTACTAATATTATAAATGCGAAAGTAACTCTGTCTGTCTGTCTATTACGCTTTCACTCCTATACCACTGAACTGATTTTAATGAAATTTAGTACAGATCTAGAGTTAACCTTGAGAAAGAACATAGGATAGTTTTTATGCCAGAATTTTGAAAGGTTCTCTTGGAAACGCAATGTAACCGAACGGACGGAAAGCTAATTATAAAATACAGTTAGTCTACAAAAGGTCCTTCTATAAGATAACGTTTTGAGTTAGTTGTAGGTATTTGAAAAGCTGGTCATAATAGGTGGAGAACGTCTTCTTGAAATCTTGAAATACTAAATGCTAAGATAGATAAATATTATTAAAATAAACATTTACTGTGAGCAGATCATTGGGGATGTTTAATAAGCTAAACAAAACGACATAGATGTAATTTTTGGCATTGTGTCATTATGAAAGGGTATTTTCGTCATATGTATCATTATGAAATATATATATTTTAGTAGTAGGAAAATTCCATATTGATATAATCATTTCAATTGTAAGTAATTACATTGTGAATATGATATTTTGATGTGAGTTCTAAATCATTAGGATCATCGATAATTAATAAACAATTGATTATGATGAAACTGTATATACAAAAGAGATAAAACAGTAAACAAAACTGTTTACATAAAATATAAGTAATAATATTACGTGCGTTGCTTTATAATCTATATAATATCTATCAAATATACCTACTTCTATAAATGGAATGACCGAATTCCACAATTCTGAGCGCATAGGGTAAAAGAGGGTAATGGGGGTCACTTAAGCGAGAACTCAAATAAAATTTTAATTAAAAAGAAAGTATTTATTATAACTGCGTATAAACATAATTTGCTTATTAAACTATCATTAGAGATCAATTTCAGTCATTTAGGCAGTCAACTTTGGAAATTATAAGAGTTTAAAAAAAAACCAGATTTGACTCCCATTACACCAACGTAGGGGTAATGGTGATCACCCTGGGGGCAATTGGAGTCAAATAAAATCTAGCATACGTCGCAAACATAACCTTTAGCTGACTCCCATCCAGTGCACTCCGCGTGAGCCCATAGTCCACACGAGGTACACCTGTACCACATCTCGTTGTTTCTTCCGAATTCGTCGCATACTAGGCATCTGTTCCCAGCATCTTCTGCGTCATCATCCTCATCGTCCTGGCATAAGTCGTCAGTGCCAACATCTGATACAGAAGTTTCGTTCTGTTCTTGTAATACTTGGCGCTTTGCCTTTTCAGGACCCTTCTTCTGTACTTTAGTCTTTTTTCCTCGTCCTTTACCTTTCCATGTGTTTTCTTTTTCTTTACCTCCTTTTTTCTTCATTTTATTAATTTCCTTTTCTAACAGATTCTCTTTTTGTGGCGTTGAAGTTAAAATTGTAGCGTGTTGCTTCTTTCGGCCCTGTCTTGTTTTAATAACAGATGCTTTCTCGGGCATTTTTATTAAATCATGCAATACACTAGATTGATTAGGCGTGCCAGGAACTTGTGGTACAACATCTGATTCAGAATCAAGTGGGACTTTTTGGTTAGACATCATAAGATCTAGTGAAACAATTTGTGTTGACGTGCTCGGAACTGGTGAGTCTTCTTTTGATGTACTGGGAATCATACAGGCAGCTGCGAGAGATTCATTGCAGTCTTCGATTACAACGGTTTCAGATTGGAGAGTTTCTGCAGCGAGAAAATCTTCTTCTGTGAATACCTCCGGATTTAGTGGAAATATTCCAGTTGATCTAAACCCCGATTCTCCTTTACTAATAGAAGCAACATTATTAAATGCTTTCCTCACCAAGGACGCTACGTCGTAAGGGGTTATCTTTTTTGCTAGATGGCTTTTCAAAAAAAAGTCACATTCTTTTTTGTATGCCATTTTGAGTGGGCCAAAAAAAGAAACGTCAAGAGGCTGCATTCTATGAGACGTATGTGGTGGCAGAGACAACATATGAATGTGATTGGACTTGCAATATTCGTAAACGGAAAGAGAAATGTGACTAGCATGGTTGTCTAGTATTAAAAGGATGGGTTCATCTGCAGACGGTTTAGCGTGCTGTTTAAAATGCGCCAACCATTCCAGAAAGAGATGCTCGTTGATCCATCCGTTGTCTGAACATTTGTAAAGCGCGCCTGCTGGACCATCCTTCTCAAGTAGTGGAGTCATCCTTTTTCTAGGGTAGATAAACATAGGTGGAATGTACCCCCCCGCACTGCTCATAGCACACAACAAGGTGATGTTTTTTCCTCGCTCCCAACTGGTAACAGATCCTACTCTCTTCTGTCCTTTTGCAGCTAAAATTTTTCCCGGTGTTTGAACCGTTGATATACCGGTTTCATCGCAATTATAAATATTTTTTTGGACGAATTTGTATTTTTCCATCAGCTGCCCAAGTAGCTCAAAGAACAGACTTACCTCTGTTTTATTAAAGGCCGTGATTCTATTTATGCTGGTCGCTTCCGGTTTTCTAATAGAAATGTTATTTCTAGCCATAAAAGCATGCAACCAATCGCGTCCAGCCATTTTTGAAGCTTGATTAAAATTATGCTTCACATTTAATTTTTCAGCATATTCGAAAGCGACTCCTCTGATTTGATTAGCAGTACAACCATAAAAAATATTTGCCATTTTCTTCACCAAGTTCGCTAGCTCGGCTTCTTGCTCACGACTAAAGACAGTGAATCGTCCTAGATGTGGTGCTAAGGTAGAACCTTTTTTTATCCTCTTCTGAAGGCTTGAAAAAGGGATTCCCATTACTTTAGCAGCATTCCTTATAGAAGAACCGCCATCAATGAGCCGTATAGCTTTATTTAGGCTATCAGAAGACCAGGAAGCCTTTTCAGTTGTCCTGACGCGTACTTTCGGCATCTAGAAATAAATAATAAAAACATGATTCAACAGCAACGCACAGTTGCGGGCAATAGTAATCACTTGTGGGTAATGGGAGTCACCTGACTCTCATTACCCACAACTACACTAATGAGTAAAAAATAAAAATAAAAAAAACTTTAATACACTGATATAATCTGAACTGCACATCACAATTTGAAACGTCTAACTAAGTAAGTGTAAATGTCATAACCGCATACTGCAAGATATTTGGTACTTACCTTCTAATTTGCATTTACGAAAAATTACATCAGCGGAGCACAAAAACAAAACACGGTCGTTTCTCAGTGGCGCGTGAGCGGACTGGCACGAGCCGTTCGTGGCTGCGCGGGGGCCTGAAGCGGGGGCTGAGGACGCTGTTTACGCGTCGGTCTCGTATTGTGTTTAGTGGTGGTGTGGGTGACTCCCATTGCCCGCTGACTCCCATTACCCTACTCTCCCCTACTACATGACTAATGGATACAAAAAAATCAGATTTTTTTTAGACACTTGGCGTTTATAAAAATATTTCGATTTCTTTATAAAATATAAATTCTAAAGTTTAAGAGAAATATATTCTTATAAGGAACCCGCCCTCAACAAATTCTTCTTGCACAGACGATAACATCTTATAAATATGTTCTGTTTACCATGTACTTAATTTAAAAGTAAATTTATATTTTAAACTTCAACAACGATCACAAATTCTTTATCCTAATGAGTTTGCTATTATGCTGATGCTATTGGCATAATTGGAAAATGAATATTGCGGCTGCAACAATTAATGGATATTTGATTCAAGTACAATATGAAAATGGAATATAATTTTAATATACTCGTTCGTAGTGTTAATTTTATTGTGCAGAGTTTATAAACAGGAATATGATTACTGTTTATAACTTGCGTTCTTCATACATGCTATGAACAGTTGGCGGATACAATGGAAGTAAACAACCGACATTGCGTTACGTAAAGTGTGCGGTCGTTAGACGGAGAATTTAAATTGCTACCCAGTAAAGAGAAAACTAAGCCACGCTTGTTGTAGTATATGAAGTTAGGTAGTTGCGAATTGAAGTTAATTATGTACTTACTCAGATTAAATGTGTCAAGTATTTTAACAATAATATTAATATTGTCCATAGTATTTAACAGTCTACTGAAGATCGATTACGAATAAACATTTTCACATCGTACTATTGGAAACGACAATCACTAGTGGCTTCACATAGACTACTAATAAATCAAAGAAGCGTATAATGAACTGTATACTTTATTTTTGTAAACAGTATGTAACCTACAGTTTACAGGAAAAAAAGTTGTTTTATTGTGTAATAAAAAAATAATCAAAGATATCGTATATTTTTAGAATATATGCATGTATATTTTTAATTGCGTGAATTCTTGAATAGATTCTGAAATAACAATAGATTTACGGATTTACTTAAATTCGTCTTGGTATTCAACAATAGGCGAGTGGAATTTCTCCTTAAGGTTATCTGAGATATTTCCGTAGTTACTAAGCACTTTAAATAGTTTCCATGAAGCTATCGTAAAGAGTGTAATAACAATTAAATATTTTAATAAGAGCGATAAGCAGTTTATACTCTGTTTTTGAACAGTATAGAGAAAAAGTAAATAAACAACATTCCTAAATAAAACACTTATGAAGAGTTTATCTCGTTCTATTTTGTTATATAAATATAATAACTGGTTTATTATAAACTGTCTACAGATACCTATTCATGTTTCCCAAATAGAAAGTAATTAACTCTTAAACTTGCCCTCTCAAGGCTTCCCTTTTATTTCTGTCAGTAAGCACAAGTTATCCATCTTTAGCGACTGCTCAGCGAACTATTAATTAACTTCTCTAATTAAACGTTTCCCAACCAATTTCCACTGAAATATAATCATGTATTCTAGGTCGTGACCTTAAATGTATTAAAAATAAATAAAACAAAAAAGAAATAGTAGTAGAGCAATAATCTCTATGATTTTTATTATGATACTTCCAAATTCCAGAATGATAGTTCTAAAATAGCAATGGTATAGACTTGTTAAACATTATTTTTGACGTATGCATAATATTTTTTTTTTTATATAAGAGCTAATGCAGAACAATCATTATAGTTTATTTTTAACAAAAGTTTTATAGTGTTGTATGTCTGTTTGGTTATTAGATTTATTTGTTTTACAACATATTTCATTGGTATGCTTAATATTTTCACAAATTCAATCAAGTAATTATATATTCCACGATAATCACCCGTCATATACTTCCATCTTTTATCAGATAAATCATAATTGAAAATGGAAACATCGTTACTATCTCGAAGATAGCATGTGATTTTAGAATAATTTTTAATAGTCCAATATTGTTCCAGATTTATCAAAACTTTTTGCAATTCTCTCCTTATTATACTTTTGTTTGGTGTAATAACAAAATATATATACTCTGTTTGATTTCCATTTACTACCTTAACCACACATATTTTATTCTTAAGCTCTCTTTTTTCTAAGGTACTGGACAATTTCATATCGTAAGATAATATACTACTTATTGCCGTAATAATTTGAGAGCACAAAAGAATTGAGCTTAGTATCACAATGAAATCCACTTTCTCAAAATCACACGTTCTAGAAGAGATTTTAATAAACAGTCTTTCTTCTGTATTAAATAGCAAGCAACGATCGAATAAAATGTAGAGAGAAAGGAAAATGGCAGTTGGTATATTGAAAGCTCTTACGTCGTTCAAGCTCAAGTTCCAAAGCAAGGAATTTGTGGAAGACAATTGAGCTTTATTGCTGAATATTTGCTGCTTAAGTGAATTGCTTATCCAGGCCTCGCATCCTTTAGATGCGAGGAGATAGGCAATTTTGTTTTCAAGGCTAATCCAGCCATTTTCTTGGTATTGCAATTTATGATACAGATAACCATTCGATTCGGCGACTATAGATGGCACAATATCTTCTTCGTGTGGCGGCACATCCAATAAACCATATTTGTTTATGAGTTGAGTATAATTGAGATGTACATCATCATATCTTATTACCAGCTGCAAATCTGTTATATATATTTTTGCACTTTTGAGATCCGAATTTTCATAAGTATATAGATTAATTATATCCTCAATTATATTGATGATGTCTGATATTAAGTCCAGGTCCAAATCAAAGATCAAGTCCTCATTAGCATGGCCACAGTCTTTTAAGTATAAAAATGTAATAAAAAGTAATAATTTACTTTGCTTTATGACGAAATCACCACCGAACATCTTTGTTATATTTATAATAAAGATCATTAAATGAAATCAAGGCACTTATATAATAAAATTTTGCTATAATTTGTTACAAACAAAAAATCTTTCAATAGCGTGTAATTAGATCATTTGAAATGGTAATGGTCTTGGTAGACGTACATATACGTAGCTATGAAGTTCTTTAGTTCTGTGATGGAAAACTGCGGATATTGCAGAATCTTGAATGCGGTCGTTTTGCTCGAGGAAGATTTATACTTACTTGGAAAATACTTCGCTTAGAAATATTTAACTTTTCAAATTTCAAAACAGGATGACATAGTAAAAAATATTCTAATATATGTATAAATATTCATTGTTAAAGATAATAGAAATAATATTACTGTTTGATAAAATCTTTTCTTTTTGCGTGAATGGTATTGAAGTCGTAGTTAATCTTAGAGGCATTTGTTATCAGTGGACTGTTGCCGTCTCGATTTATGGAGAGGGCACAAAATTAATAGTGTCATAAATTCACCGTGCCGTTTTCAATTCAGCTTTCTTATTTATCAAAGATTAGCTTGATAAATTTATTATAAATCTTATTAGAATTGAAAAGACTATTTATGAAATAAATAGGTAGGCTATTTTAATAACTTTATATCTTAAGAATGAATTAACGGTGAAAATATAATATTCTGTTTGACATATTTCTTTAGGTTTTTTTTATATTTTAGACGCATTTTTTGTATGAAGCTATTATTAAATAAGTTACGAATTTGAAGTATCGTTGTGCTTATTATAATTTTCTTAATAACTCCATGATATACTTCCACTTTCAATACATATAAAAATGGTAATTCTTTGTATTGTAATGCTCTGGTAAATTAACTCATAGCTACCAGCAATTAAAACGTCGCCCCCGGTCACGGGTTGGTGACTATAAATCTTATTGCCTGGACTTTTTGCCTAAAATAGACCCAGACGGAGACACTATCGGAATTTCATAATTGATAACCTGAAATTACTGCCTTGGTAATGACACATGATCTGCCAAATTACGAGCTTCACCATTATAGACAAATGTCAATGGATTGGAAAGAGATTTCTTATCCGTGGCTGCAGGTTTGCTTCTCTACCAAAAATCCGTTGAAAAATTTACGCCTTCACAAAGAATATAGCATATCGTTTTGCTTACCTGACTGCTATTTCTCTAAGACAGAGTTATTTATTACTAATAATTGGGTATTGAGAACTTTATGTACATAGTTTTACATGGAAGAAGCTAGTGGCCCAGACGGATTGTCAGCTCTCCGAACATGATTGTACACACTGTCTTTTATAATTGGATATTTCACATCCTATCACTAATAGGTAAAATGGAAGGGCTAATCCACTTTATGTATTAAAAAATAAGTGATTGATGCTAACAAGTCGAATACATGAAATATCCTAACGGGAACCAACTTTTCGAATACCTATTTAAAATGTCCATAAAAAGGAATAATTATTCTCTCAACGCAATTTCCCTTCTTCATTCAAGGTAAATATAATTAATTAATTGTTTGCCTTTCGCTTTGCTGAAACAACCACAATTTTATCTCACCTCATTAAATTTTGTATAATATTTTGTTTGCAGTACAAAATATCCCTATTTAATTATTTTTTTAAATTTCATTTGGTATTTTTTAAAAACGTATTGTGTTTATACCTATTGTGTTTATATTTAAAACCAATTTTTTCTTGTATTTGTAGATAATATTCAGTTATTTTGTTTAATCATTTACCATATTTCACTTATTTATTTTGAATTTCAATAAATTACATAAAATGAGAGTTGTTATGATTAAATGTTTTGTAATAATATAAAAATACCAAATTCAAACTAAATGTTGACGATATCGTCTCCTAAAAAGTTCCTTGGACGTATTTAAATTTTTCATTTCTACGTTTATTGCGTTGTTGATTGTTGACATTTCATTTTCACAATTTTATTTTTCATAACAGAGGTTACAAATTGGTCGCTGGGGCTCAGATCTTATTAAGCAAAATTATTTTTTGAGGCAAGAGCATCAAACCTATTTGAACAGAAAATGTTCTTTTTGAATGTTGATATCTATGTTATCTCTGTTTTAGTTTAATATATTTAAGTTGAAATAAAACAAAAAATGTCTTTATCAGATACTTTTCATTCTTAAGCAGCTCTACAAAAATACTATTTTAATTTTATTGTTTCATTCAATAATGCTAGTGAGACTGTGGTGGCCTAGTGGTTAAAAGGACCGCCTCTCATGAATGAGGGCGCGGGTTCGATCCTGGCAAGTACCAATGTGATTTTTCCGAGTCATAGTTACTTTGTAAGAGTATTTAGACATCACTGATTAATGCGCTCCCAAAGAGTGTTGATGTCAGGCAGGCGCCCGATAGTAAAAAAAAAGCCAAAACTATTCACAACATGTAAGGGGGACCCTGGCTAAGATCTGGGAAATTGCCAGGTAGAAGAAGAAGATTCCATAAATGCTAGTATTAGTATTAGTTATGTTTGTTGAGTGCAAGAATATTATGCCGCAACGATTGCCTTATAACGAATAATCCAAACGTTATCAAGAAGATAAAAGACATAAAACAGTAATTATTATAAAATTTTGAAGGGAATTATTTATTTTCATACAATTTAATATTGGATTTTGTTATAGAATGTTATTTGCTTATATATTTCTATACAACCAAGAGTGCTTTATACAAAAATAAAAGAGCGAAATCTATAACAAATTTTACTAATGCCAAACCACTAGTGAATTCCCAAGTGGTTTGGCCATGTAAATTATGTGCTATATCGAAAATCAATTTCATAGAAAAATAATTTTATTCTATATTACTATAGAGAGTAAATGATACTACTACAAAGTTTGCTAATTATTCTTTTACTGGCATTACTCCTTGCTAAATATTATGATTTTAGGTCAACCCGAAGTCTCTTATACGAAACTATTAAAGAATCTAAGACGTAAGCATTAGAACTAAAGAGACTGCAATTACTTTTACCTAGACATGTAATTTTTCACTGCTGTAAGTGCTAGCAATCTTCAGTATTCGATATTAATTTCAACCGCGTACTTCGACGAATCTCATGAAAAAAGATAAATCGTTAAAACGCCTATGTATTTATTTTGAGAATCTATTTTGAAATAAGCAACCCGTCAATGTATGAAACCTTTTTAAATGGAGTATATCTATAAATATATATGAAAAAACACATATATATGTTAATATATAACAATAAAATATTTATTTGGAATATTATTTTGGCACTAGGATGATTTCGTAACAATAAATCTTCATCAAGATATCTCAATCTGAGTCAGGCATCACGTAAAATCACTTTTATTAGAACACTATTAATATTCATAGGCTATAGATTGTAAGTGCCAGCTAAAAGGAATGCCTTGTTAAAGTTTCCGATGACACAGCATTTATAAGCCTGGCATAGAAAAGTTCAAAAATATTTTCTCTACAATCAGTCTTATTTTTGGTATTTCACTAAAAATCTTTTCTATGTATAATTATAGAAAATTCGGATGTTTAAGTTTTTATTTGTGTATTACTTGTGAATAAATTTTTAATCTAAAGAGTAAGATCATAAATACTTAATGACCATTTGACCTTAATTTTTCTACCTACATATTTATTTTTGAAAAGACGAAAGTAGAATAAGAATGATAAATAAATATAAGCTGAATATATATTTGTATATAAATAATAATTATAACAATTAATTGTAATAACGTGATGATTGTAAATAATAACTAATTGGTGGTTTACATTTTTTTTATTTTATTCTATATACATTATAAAGAATATACATTATATGTAAAGAAAATAAAAGAAAGTGTTGTTTTTGATGATATTACTTAAAAAAAAAATAGTTTTAGTGACTCGAAAATTTAGGTGCGATTTACTAGTACTTAAAAAAGTTAGCTTAATAATGTCATAATGTTATGATCCATCATGTCTAAATGATATGATCCATCAATATTTTATATGACGAGTGAGGTCACGTAAAATCTGAATATAGTTTTATTGTGGTGTCATAAATATTATTTTCATTTCTTGAAATAGAGGTCATGAGGGAAAACTTTCTACGATGTCCGATGACATCGTTTAAATTATAGGCCATGGTGTTATTGATCGTCTGTGTGGGGAAGATTAAGTTACCTCAGTACGTTATGTGATACTTATGTATATATCAATATTTCTTTACAACATTCAGTGCTACAACAGTAGTAGTAGTAGTAGATTGGTTTGAAGAGAGATAAATAAGAATAGAGGCAATTTATATTATTTACGGCTCTCATCTGTTAAATTAACCTATAAAAAGATTTTTATTTATTTCGATTGAATACTACTTGACATATTCTACACGTTGGAAAGTGGAATGATGCCTTAGTTGGTAAAAGGAACTCAGTGACAGCTCCTTTATCCTCAACTTGAAGTCACTTAAATATATTATAATTTGAAGGAAACTAAGATGCAGGTAAACTATTCCAAACCATTGATGTGAGTATTAGGTAGGATTAAGGATTAATTTAGCTCCCTCTGTAACGCTATTGGAATTAAGTGGAAACCGCAAATTAATTTCGAATAAATACACTTAATTTTATTTCATATAATTCATGAAATGTTATTTGATATAAGAAATAAATTGAATATTAGTAAATATATAAAAATATGTATTTGCTTTTATTCCGAAAACTCTTGATTGTGGGTTTGTGCGTGCACTCTTAATTCTCCCTAACTTTTTTAAACAGAATCATTTATCAAACAAATATTGAGTTATACCAACAAAGTTATGAGAACCTCTATCACGTTGTATCACTATTTTATGTACTTTTCCGAATTGAAACAAAACTTAGAACAATATTCAGATGTACTTATTGCGTTATTATGTAGCTTTTTTGTTAGACTTCAAAAGCCTACGAAGGCCGTTCTCTGTTAATGAAAATAAAACTTGAAGATCTTTGTTCTTAATGAAATCACTT